AGGAAACCTTATTTCCATAATATTCTGGGGTCATGAGCTACCAGAAAGGCAAACAGGCTATTGGTATGTTTGCGGTTTTACCCTTGGCCAAAATATAAGGATGGTTAAAGGGGATTATTATTTCTTCAGTGGCCTTAACTTAAGGGTGGTGGCAGGAATAGCTCTGAGACAAGAGGGATCCCCTGACATAGGGTGGGTTGATGATGATCCCCATGTTTTTAGGTGAGTACTCCCAAGGACATTCCCTTCTCTCTTACAAAGAGGAAAAAGGAGAGTTGATAATTATGATATCTGAGGCCAGGCTTTTTTTTTTTTTTTTTAAGTTCCAAAGGCTGTGTCTTCCTGACCATTCCAAATAATAAGGTCAGGTTTGTCATTTTTTAGTAAAGCATATAGAGTTTGAGTCATAAGAGAGAATTTGGGGTTTCCATTTCCAACAGTAGCCAGCAAGTCCAAGAAAACCTTGTAATTGGTGCTTAGTTTTAGGTTTAGGGAAATTCAGGATGTCTTGAAGTCTACCTGGATCCAAATGTCCTTGTTCCAAGATCAGGTGCCCTAAGTATCAAACCTAAGTTTGAACACACTGCAGTTTTTCTTTGGAGACTTTATGTCCCTTTAAGACCAAAAGTTGTAACAGATGTCGTCTTCCTATGCAGAGTTTTGAGAAAGGGAGTGAGAAGCAAATCATCTACATATTATAAGAAAGCAGAGCCAACAGAAAACTATTATCATCTAAATCAGTTTTTAAGGTTTGTGAAAATAAGGCCTCTGTAGCATTATAGAGCCCTGGGGCATTACTGTCCAGATGTGTTTTCCATTCTTCCCAAGTGAAAGCAGAGAGATAGTGGCTATCCTTATCAGCTCGAGTACTAAAATATGTACTCCACAGATCAGTTACAGTGTGAAATCTGCTTTCTTTTTTTTCTTTTTATTTTTAAAGATTTTATTTATTTATTCATAGAGACACAGCTAGAGAGAGAGAGGCAGAGACACAGGCAGAGGGAGAAGCAGGCTCCATGCAGGGAGCCCGACGTGGGACTCGATCCTGGGTCTCCAGGATCATGCCCTGAGCTGCAGGCGGTGCTAAACCACTGCGCCACCGGGGCTGCCCGAGAAATCTGCTTTCAATGGGAATGGATGTCAGTAGCATATTGGGTATGCGCGAAGCCATTAGGAACAAAATGCCAAGGGAGAAAAGTGGGGTTTTTGGTTTGTTTGTTTTTAAAGATTTTTATTTATTGAGAGAGAGAGCAGAATGAGAGAAAGAGCAAGAGTAGTGAGGAACTATTGGAATCTTCATGGGAGATGCACTGTGGATTCTGCCAATGTCGGTTGAAGATCTTGCCCATAAAGACAATGGTAGCTGATCCAGTAGGGACAAATGATCAGTATCCCCAGACCTACAGTGCTGTCAGAGATGGAGCAAATAATAGATGTCAGAGGGCCATTTAATTTACCTAATTGGCGGGCAGCCCAGGTGGCTCAGTGGTTTAGCGCCGCCTTCAGCCCAGGGCCTGATCCTGGAGACTCGGGATGGAGTCCCATGTCGGGCTCCCTGCATGGAGCCTGCTTTCCCTCTGCCTGTGTGTCTCTCTGTGTCTCTCATGAATAAATAAGTAAAATCTTTAAAAAAGTTTTTACCTAATTGGCTATTTTGATTAACTACCGTCAAATTCTAGAATTATATCCCTGTTTTGGAAGAAAAATTCTGATACGGTGTTTCTCTAAGAACTAAGGAGAAAGAGTTATGTCTCTCAGAGTGCCTAGACAAATGGGAATAGGTTCAGAGACAGGAACCTGTTAAGGTTTATTAGAGATCCCTACTACTTGGATTGCTTTAGTACTCTGAGGCAGAAGCTTTATGGCACTGGGGTTGAGCTCCAAGTGCATAGCTCTCATGTCAGTAGAGAGAGATTCATTTCCGTTCCGGAGAATGGTTTCTCTGAGCTGATTAAGAGGGACGATTGGGAAGACCTCCTGTTGTTTCTCAGAACCCTATCATTAGGAATTAGGAGAACATTGAGAAGGCTGGCTAATGGGCTGAGGGCTCCTGGAGTGTTTAGGTTGGTAACAATCTTTTTCTTTTTCTTTTTTTTTTTTTTTTAATGTGTTGGCTCTTTGCAATAATAGAAACTAGGAGGGTTTTTGTTTTGTTTAGGGGGTCTTCATTTGCAAGGGTTGAAAAGTAAGAATTTTAATGGTCTTTTAGGTGACTCCTCCAAGGATGCAAGTAAGCTCATTTGCCAAATTAACTAAATCTGGAGTGAATGTAGTTGCCCTTTCCATCCTAGTCTTTGTAACTAAAACAGAAGTATCTTGGTTCAGTCCATTTATATGATTAAATGTTACCCAAGTGAATCCAACATGTAAAGGAAGACAATTTTCTTTAAAGATAGTTTGGAGTCAATAATAATAGTATTGACACGTTCACCAAGCTTTTGTGTATGAGCTTGAATTTCTTTCTAGTCATCAGGCTTAGGAGAAGGTACTGTAATTGCTTGGTGGAGATTTCCAGTGAGTGTTCTAGCATCTTGCCAAAAATTAGGGACCTGTTTCTCTAAATCCTTTTGGGATGTTTCCACCAGGCTAGTTTCATCTAGTGTTTGGTCTAGCCCTCACCAACAAGGATGTGGACTAATTAATCTGAGAGACCAGATTGTTGTGTTGGAATGACTATGCTAAATTCTTCAGCAAACCTCTGGGTTTGCTTTTTAATTGTTTGCCTGTTAGTCTAGAAATTATATTTTGCAGAGAGGCAATTTTAGATTCCTGATAACGTTCGGAAGTTTGAAAATACTAAGCCAATCCCATTTTATCTTGGCAATGTTAGAGCCGTAGCTGTCCAGTGCAGTTTGGAAAAAAGTAAGTTTGGGGAGATCTCCCATATGGCCACGGAAACCCCAATTCATAGTTGTCAGTCAAATGTATGGGGGTCCTAGAACTTGCTATTGGCATGTGAAGTAGAGGGACAGTCTTCTGGGACTGAACCTTTAAATCTGTGGAATCTGGCTCTACAGATAGTGTCAGAGCAGTGGTGTTGAAAAAGTCAACATGTATTTGGCATCAGGATGGAAAAAACCTTTCATTTGGTATCAGAAGTGTTATGTGTAGAGCAGTACAGATTCATTATAGAAAAGTTAGTTGTGGGATCCCTGGGTGGCTCAGCGGTTGAGCGACTGCCTTCGGCCCAGGGCATGATCCAGTAGTCTCAGGATCAAGTCCCACATCGGGCTCCCTGCATGGAGCCTGCTTCTCCCTCTGCCTGTGTCTCCACCTCTCTCTCACTCTATCATGAATAAATAAATAAAACCTTTAAAAAAATTAGTTGTATGAAAGCACTGTCACTATAGGGTATTGGTAAAGGGATGGTCAGAGCTGTTTAGCATTCATCTTGGCTAAAACCAAATAATTTCTCTTCTGCCAACCCCTTCCCCCAAATCATCTTTTTCTATAGCTTAAAATACCCTAGTGCCGGGGCCCCTGGGTGGCTCAGTGGTTGAGCATCTGCCTTCAGCTCAGGTCATGATCCCCTGGGGTCCGGGGATCGAGTCCCACATCGGGCTCCCTGCACAGCCCGCTTGTCCCTCTGCCTATGTCTCTGCCTCTCTGTCTCTCATGAATAAATAAATAAAATCTTTAAAAAAAAAAATACCCCAATGCCTTTGTGTCATTTTCAGTGCCCTCCACATTTATTTCCTTTCCTTTCTGCCAGCTCTAAATCTCAAACAGATGTATTCACAAACTTATCCCCGCTTCAGCTCTGCCACTTTAGTGCCTTTGGTTATGTTTGCTTTGGTCTCCTTTCCAGCCTAACAAATCCCATCTCTCTGAAGAGATGATCTCTTGATCATCTGAGCTGGAAGAGATGTGTCACCGCCTTCCCACTTAATTCTGCTGCTTGTCTGTACCACTCATTACACCACATCACATTACAATTTCTGAGGCAGCATAGTAGAGTAAAAATAAAAAGAATTATGCACATAAGGAGTCTAGAATTTGAATCTTGAATTAGCTATGTGCCTCCAGAATACCTTGCATCTGTCAGCTTTACTTTTTTCTTTTAGAAAGTGGAAATAGTACCCACCTCAAAGGGTTGTTGTGAGAACTAAAATGAGGTAATATATATAAAATGCTTAGCACATTGCCTAGCATATCATAGGCACTGAATAAATGTTATCTTTCATCTTCTCTCCCCACTTTTTTTTTTTAAGATTTTATTTATTTATTCATGAGAGGCAGAGAGGGAGAGAAGCAGAGACACAGGCAGAGGGAGAAGCAGGCTCCAAGCAGGGAGCCTCATGGGGAATTCTATCTTGGGTCTGCAGGATCAGGCCCTGGACTGAAGGTGGCGCTAAACCACTGAGCCACCGGGCTGCCCTCCCCACTTTTTTTTTTTTTTAAGATTTTATTTATTCATTCATTTGACAGAGAGCGAGCACATAAGCAGGGGGAGCAGCAGAGGGAAAGGGAGAAGCAGACTCCCCACTGAGCAGGGAGCCGGATGTGGGGCTTGATCCCAGGACCCCGGGATCACGACCCAAGCTGAAGGCAGGCACTCAACTAACTGAGCCACCCCTTCTCTCTCCACTTGGAATGTAGGGACTGGTTTTTATTTTTTTATAACTCTTGGCACTTAATACAGTATGTAGCATGTGGAAAACTTATTAAACAAATGAATAAGAATCAATACAGCTGTGTTTAAAGGATAATTCTTTGTAATGATACTTTGTAAATCGAGATTTCTAAAGGACTTTTGAGTACAGATCATCAGTTTTGATGTCAAAAATTACAACCTTAGGGGCATCCAGGTGGCCCAGTTGGTTAAGTATCAAAGTCTGCAGTCAGCAGGGAGACTGCTTGAAGATTCTCTCCCTTTGCCCCTCCCCCTGCTCCCTGTCTCTCACTCAGCGTCTCTATAAAATAAATAAATCTTTTTTAAAAAATTATAACCTTAATGTAGCCATAGAATAGCATCACAAGCTTTGTGTTCTTTGCTATAGGTATGTCCTACTGAAAGAAAGAAACATGCTCCTAACTCTAGAGCAGGAGGCCAAGCGGCAGAGATTGCCAATGCCAAGTCCGGAGCGGTTAGAAAAGGTAACATTTATGGGAGGCTGGAGACTGTTGTGTGGGATAAAAGCCAAAATATGAAGAAAAAAAAAAGCCAAAATATGTAAACGTATGGTTCCTACATTTCTTGGCAAGTAGATTTCTTTTTTTTAATTTGTTTGATTTTTAGTAAATGTACAGAGTTGTGCAACCATCACTATTTTAGAACATCTCTATCACCCGAAAATGAAGTGTCATGCCCATCTGTAGTCACTCCCCATTCCCACCTGCAGACCTCAACAGATATGTGGACACATGCTTTTATTTCTCTTGAATAAATACGTAGGAGTAAAATTGCTGAGTTGGAAGGTAAATTTATGTTTAATGTTTTGGGAAACAGCCCAACTCTTTAAAGTAGCTATCCATTTTATATTTCTAGTTCCGATTTAACTACTTCCTTACCAATGGGTCAAAGTTGTTTGGTTTCTCTTTTTAAGATTTTGTTTATTCAGGAGAGACACAGAGAGAGGGGGGCAGAGACATAGGCAGAGGGAGAAGCAGACTCCCTGCGGGGAGCCCAATGTGGGACTCGATCCCAGAACTCCCGGATCACACCCTGAGCCAAAGGCAGATGGTTAACCACAGTGCCACCCAGGTGTCCTTAAGTCAAAGTTTTTAATACATTCTTTTTTTAATTGTAAAAAACATATAACACCAAACTTACCTTTTTAGTCTTTTTTAAATGTGTATTCCAGTAGTGTTAAGAATATTCACGTTACTGTGAGAAGGTCAACTGTTGTTCAAATTGGGTTTTCTTCATCTTTAAAAAAGATCCCAAGCACCTGAGTTGAGCATCCAGCTCTTGATCTCAGGTCAGGTCTTGATCTCAGGGTTGTGAGTTTAAGCCTCACATTGGGCTTCACGTGAGGCATGGAGCCTACTTTAAAAAAAAAAAAAAGAAAAATCCCTTAGGTTCATTATTTCCACTCCTAGAGGTAATTAGTTCTACGTGTTTCCTATTTGTCCATCAGGGTTTTTCTCTGCATGTAGAAGTGTGCTTCATGATTTTTATTTACAATAAATAATTCCTCTAATTTGGTTATGCCGTATAAACTCTTCTGACATTTGCATTTTCCACTTACCTAGTATATCTTGGGTATCTTTCCCTGTCTGTGTATGTAGATCTGCCTCTTCTTTTTCATGTGTCACACCGTCCACGTTTAAGCTAGTTCTTCCGTATAGACTTTTTTTTGTTTGTTTTATTTCATTAGATTTCTCAGGGATTTTTGCCTGGATTGCTTGTGAAGGCAGCTCTTTGTTGATGTGTCTGTACCATAGTAAATAGTCCGTGAGAGTGGAGCTCAGCTTTCTGCCTGGCCTCAGCTGTGCTCCAGTTTGCTTTCTCTGCACTATTCAACAGCTGTCACTGCCACGCTGCCTCTAAGAGAGGACCTGATATCCCTGCCCAGAGTCTAAGAAGCTAGTGCATAAAATTTCAGTTATTTACCCTAACTAGGAAGAAGTTATTCTGACTTAGTGAAAATTGAAATCCATAACATATTTGTTTCTTTAAACTTTATTTTAGCATGAGACTGACAGAAAGTAAAAAAGAGTGGTATAGAGGTACCTTTCACCCAGTTTTCCCCAGTGAATGTTTTATCGCATTTGCTTTATCCTTCTCTGCTTCCTTCTCTAAATAACACATTTTTTTCTTCAGAAGTTTAAAAGTTAGAGACATGGTGTCCCTTGATCCATAAATAAATATATGTTGCCCAAAAAACAAGGATATTTCCTTATATAACTGTTGTACAATTTTCAAAATCAGGAAATTAACACTGATACAGTACTATTATCTAATCGACAGATCTCTTTCATCAGTTATCCTAACATCCTTTATAGCAGAAGAAAATCCTGGATTATTCGTTTTCAGTTTTTGCCTCCTTTAATCTGGATACTCAGTCTTTCTTTGTGTGTCAGGACATTGACATTTTTAAAGAGTCTAGGCCAATTTGGATTTGTATAATATTTATACATGATGATTGGATCATATAATCAGAAATATAGAAGTGATACTGTATTCTTTACAGTGCATATTAGGCACAGGATGGGGATTTTTGTGTGTTACTGATGTTCACATTAATAATTTTGTTAGGGTGGTTCTGCCAGGTTTCTCCACTGTGTATATAGTTATTAATTTTTCTTTGTATTGAAATCATGTAAGTATACTGTAATTCTTCAAACTTGGACTCACCAGTTTTTGCATCTGTTGACCAGTTATTACTATGATATTTGCTAAATGGTGATTTTCTCATTCCATGGTTCATTCTATTTTGATTGGTTAGCTTTTTTCTGTAAGAAATGGTTTTCCCTCCTCTTTCTTCCTTTCCTATCACTGCAGACTCCTCGATTCCAATTTTATTCAGTGAGTTATAATTCTTTAATATCATCATCCCAGATTTAGTGGCCAATGTGAGTCCCTTCAAGCTGGCCCCTGTGCTCTCATCATTCTTTCATGAGGCATAGCAAGTTATTCTGGATTTGTTTTGTACTTTTCCTGCCCCAGACCTGGAATCAGTCATTTTACAGAGGAATACCCTGATTCCTTTTAGTGGAGAATGATGTATTTAGAAACTAAGATCTGGGTGGTAAGTTTCCTCATTGCTACACAATATTTATAAAGTATTGAGATTTTATTTTCAGATATATTTGCTAATTCTGTTAAGGAAAGTTACGTTTTAAAGAGTCTTAGTAAAAGTGCATTGGCTATTTATTTGGTGGAAAAGCTTTTGTTTTTGCTTGTTCTAAAATTCTTAAACTTCAGAATATCCCCCCTCCCTGATTTAAAAAATATATATTTCGATGTGAACTTCATCTCCTTAGGTCCTATATGGGGACCTATTTCTGAATAAGTACAATCCAAAAATAATGAACATTTTCTCCAGATAAACCAGAAGCAATTTTTTTTAAGCCTCAAATGTATGGAGTCTTCTCAGTGTTTTGTGACATACTATGAAGGAAAATTTATCAAGAAAAATATTTTAAAATAATTATTCTCAATTTAAGATATAAACTGAAGATTTGGAAGTGTGTAAGGATACTCTTGGCTCTGGAATAGTTAAACTAGAAAGGAAAGAAAGCTCTTTTAGGTTGATTTGTTTTGAATAAAGTGTATCTCATTGATACTTCTGATTTTCCTTCTCCTCTGGTGACATGAACATGAGTAATCAGATGTTAGCTTTGTGGACTGAATAGCCGTTTACTTTCTTTGTAAGCTAACATTAGATTTCAGTTAGGAGCCTGAGAAGTAACCTTGTAAGGAGAACTCTAATGTAGTCCGTTAACAGTCAGGCTTACTAAGTTCCTAAAGGCTACACCTTTGTGTTAGACCCTGACCAATCTTGTTTCTTTACTCTTTGAAGTGTGTCTTCAAAATAGGATTCACCATTCTTACCCATCTTTTATTTTTCAGAGATTTTGTAGAAATTCATGTAGTAAAGAGGAAGTACACGTGGCTTCAGCCGCTCAGTGTGACTTTAATTGAAGAAGCAAGAACAGAAGCACTGAGTGTGAGCTGAATGCAGTGTATGAGGTGGTCTAAATTTGTGGCCTTCACATCTCTTGGGTCCCACAGCCACCTGAAAGACTATCTCTTTTTTTGTTTGTTTTTCTAATGTGCACACATAAAAAGGGGAGCGTACAGGGGGAGAGAGAGAGAATTTTAAGCAGGCACCACACTCCTCATGGGGCCTAATGTGGGGCTCAATCTCATGACCCTGAGTTCATGACCTGAGCCAAAATTAAGTCAGAACTTAATCAACTGAGCCACTCGGGTGCCCCTACAAGATTATAATCTAATCTTCCCCACTTCCTGTTTTTGAGGACTCTTGCAAGAAACAGATGTGTATATGCTATACTTCTACTTGTTATGATGCTCATGGATACTATAACCAGCTAAAAATGCCTCGCAGTATTTAGAACTATGAAAAAATTTAGCTTATCTGTCATTATAGTACCCAAATATGAATATTCATTTATAAAAAATATATATTATCTTACCAATATATTATTATATGCATTGTAAGACTCAATAGAAGTGGTGAAGAGATAAAAATAGATGAGGTTCTAATAGGATCTTCTTGCATCTTGATGGATCTTTGGAGATTAGGATCAGGGTGGACTGATACTCTGTTCTCTGTATTAGTAGCAGCTGACAGGTCAAAACATCTGTGTCTGTGTGTTAGGGGACACTGATTAGTTGAGGCCAGAACATGAATTTTAGTATTAAAAAGTAGCAAACTGTTATCAATTAATAGCTCATTGAATTTTGAAATAACAGGAGTCAAATTGGGTGTCCATACGGAATCTCTGCAAGTGTATCCCACGCCAAACAAAACTAATACATATATGTGGAAATTTGAGCTAAGTAGATTTTCATTTAAATGAACTAAAGTTTTGGGGTGCCTCGGTGGCTCACTTGGTTCAGCAGCTGGCTCTTGGTGTAAGCCCAGGTCATGATGTCATGGGTTGTGAGATCAAGCCCTGAGTCAGGCTTATACTCAGCAGGAGTCTGCTTGAAGATTCTTTCCCCCTGCCCCTCCTCCAACTCTCATGCATGTGCAGGTTCTTGCTTTTTCTCAAATCTTTTTTTTTTTTTAAGATTTATTTATTTATGATAGACACACACAGAGAGAGAGAGAGAGGCAGAGACACAGGAGGAGGGAGAAGCAGGCTCCATGCCGGAAGCCTGACGTGGGACTCGATCCCAGGACTCCAGGATCGCACCCTGGGCCAAAGGCAGGCGCCAAACCGCTGAGCCACCCAGAGATCCCCTAAATAAATCTTTTTTTTTTTTTTAAGTTTTTTTTATTTATGAAAGTCACACAGAGAGAGAGAGGCAGAGACATAGGCAGAGGGAGAAGCAGGCTCCATGCACCGGGAGCCCGATGTGGGACTCAATCCCGGGTCTCCAGGATCGCGCCCTGGGCCAAAGGCAGGCGCCAAACTGCTGCGCCACCCAGGGATTCCCCCCTAAATAAATCTTTTAAAAAAATAAATGAAACTAAACTTTAAAAAAATTACAAAAAAATATTATAAACACCCACGTATGCATACCTGTGCCAAAAAGATTTTTAGGAAATATTTGACAGAATGGTTCTTTGGCAAAAATACTCATTAAGGTTTTCTGTAGCATAGTCTTTATGGTTTTTTTTGGGGGGGGGGGTTGTTTTTGTTTTTTATATTTGTTGTAGGTGATTGTTGAAATTATATCTTCTTATTCTCTTACCAGGTAATAGATTCCATGGATGCATTAGATAAAGTTGTCCAGGAAAGAGAAGATGCCCTCAGACTTCTTCAGACTGGTCAAGAAAAAGCTAGACCTGGTGCTTGGAGAAGAGACATCTTTGGAAGAATCATCTGGTATATAGTTTTCATTGTGGTTTTTCTAAGATGAGAGTGGAAGTCCCATGCCTCACTCTCTTGTCCAGTATCTTTTATAAAAACTCTCACCATATGAAATATATTACAGATGTATCCAATGTAAACAGTGGTCCCTAAGCCCCTTTGGGGCCCTAGTACATGAATGAAGGGTAGCATTATGTGGTAGGCTAGGCACCTGATTCTCGTGATTCAATTACTTGTTCTTTATGACAGTAGTTCCTAATCTTATGTCAGTTATATGACCTTTAGAGAATTTGATTAAAGTTATATAGATCCTTTCCCTAGAAAAATGTACACATGCACATATAATTTCAAAGGGTTATAAATACCATGAGGCTAATTTTTAGGATACATACCTGCCCATTATGAACCTGAAATTATAAAAGTTCTCAAAACAAAACAACAAAAAAAAATAAGTTCTCAAGGAATAAGGCCATATGAACCCATTTCAGAGTTTGCTCCCAGTGCCATGAGGGTAAACCCTAGTCCAAATTATGAAACAGTTTATTTTCATAACATCTTTCTACCGTTTGTCCCTCTAGTTCCTGAAGTTCTTTCAGACTTTGGGAAAGGATCTGAATATAAATATTTGAGAAGACCCAGTGTAATCTGTCTCTTCCAGGGCTTTTTTACATTTGGATTAAGCCGCTAAAAGGAAGCGTACTTGGTAGAATTTTAAACATCGGTCAGCAAAATGAAGAAGGCATTGTGCGTGGCTGGAGACTTTCCCTGTACTCTTGAAATTAAACAAGTTATAATAGTGCTTAGATAGGATCTTTTAATGGAGTTTGCAGTAATGGGGCTGCTTGGAGCCAAATGTAGAGAAGTAGCTGTACTCTGTGTAATCCAATACAGAAAAAAGTTACCAAAACATCTAACTAGAAACTTTATTTTTTACTAATATTTATTTGGATTAATTCAGTTGAGATCAATTAAGAAAGGGTGGAAATAGAGGAGAGAATCTGTGTCAGTATTAGAATCTGGATGAGTGCTGTTCTATTCTAGATTTTTAAAATTTTCTTTTTAACTTTTCCAGAGCTAAACAAAGTAGTGAACAAAGCAATTATATCATCTTTCCAATGTAGCTTATTAACTCAAACATTGTAATTCCAATGCCTTTTCTCTAATTTTCTATTGCATGTTATATTTATAAGTATTGCATGTTATGATATTTATAAAATAGCCTTTTAAATGCAGAGCTCCTTCTTAAGTTTTTTTTCTGTCAAAAAGAACATATGGTATATCATAATATATTAATTATGCTAATGTTATTGCAGACGGAGAGAATCTAAGCAGGCTCCATGCTGAGCACTCAGGGCTTGATTTCAGGACCCTCTCAGATCATGACCTGAGGCAAAATAGGTACTTAACCGACTGAGCCACCCAGGCACCCCTGTAAAATCTTTTAAAAGCCAGTTTTAAAGCCAGTTCTATGCATTTTATTGAAAACATATTTAGCTCAAAGATGGCTGAAACTCTGTTTGTAAAAAGTGAAAAATATATTAAATATTTTCTAGTAAGGCAATATCTTTTTGCTTTCTTGGCAGGCACAAATTCAAGCAGTGGCCTATACCTTGGTACCTAAATAAAAGATACAATAGGAAACGATTCTTTGCAATGCCCTATGTGGAACGTTTTGTCAGGTGAGCACAGTACCCTTAAATAACGAAACTTATCTTTTCATTAGATGACACAAATTAAGCTTTTACATAAGTAATACATGTTCGTTATGGAAAAAAAATAGAAGAATAAGGTAGAAAAGATGAAATTAAAGTCTTACATAATCTCACCATCCAGAAATAGCTTCTATTAACATTCTAGTATATATGCTTTCAAAAATTTTTATTGCCTTTCTGTTCGTCAATCTCTATGTAAGTACATGATTAAATTCCTCTCTAATGTGAAAAGGAACATCCAAATACCTTACATAACATATGAGCTCATATTTATTGCAAGGTTGGTGAAATGAAAAGAGGCTAGGGTGAGGAGAGGAGCCTGCTGCATTAAATCTGAAGTCATCATCTTACAGAATGTTGATTTCCAAATATTTTCTATAAAATTTTTTTTCTTCGTTGGGTTTATTATTCAACGGGGAGAATATATATATATAGGACCTCTTTTAATAATAGTAGAGTGAAGTGGTTCCATAAGACCGCAGCTAATAATTATAAAAACAAAGAAGGATTTTAGAAAACAGCTATTTTAGAACACTAGATCCACATCCAAAAGCAGACAGAATCCAAACTGCAATTGGAAGGGGAGAGAATTGGCAAATTTGTGGTTTCAGGTCAAGTGTGTTGCTCAATTCCCATGGCAGTGGCTGCGGAGAGAAGCAGGGTGGGGAGAACATCAAGGTTACTGGCTAGAGATCAGAATTCAAGGCAGGAAAGCAGCTGGAAATTTAAATTCTGGCAGCATAAAAAAACCACAGCTTTTAAACAACTGCCTTAGATCATATGGTCTACTTTCATCAAGAGTTCTTTAAAAACTTACTTTCTCTCCCAAGATGATATTTCCATACCATAAATACATACATACATACATATGCTTAAAAAATAAAATACATCTTTTAAACTGGACTTTCAGATCTTATGGTATATTTTAGAATCATAGTTTAAATTTTTCGTCTTTCTCATCAAACCAGCTGCCTCTACTTATTTCCAATTTGATCTATTGTAATGTGACTTCTAATAAAAAGTATGTATTTCGTCTTCCTCTTTGTTCCTGACACAGGGCTCCTAAAACCCCTGTGGGGATGGGGAGTGTCTTTTGTTATGTTAATAACTTTTGGAGAGCACCTTGTGATGGGGTCTAGTTGCCAGAGGAACCACCTTCGAATAGATGGTTGAAACTTTCAGGCCCACTCCCTGATTTCTGGAGAGAGGAAGGGGGCTGGAGGTGAATCAGTTGCCAGTGGCCAATGATTTAATCACAATTGCCTTTGTAATGAATCCTCCATAAAAACCCAAGAGGACAGGGTTCAGGGAGCTTCCCTGTTGGTGAGTGGCACTTGGTGATTGGAGAGTGGAACGCCCTACTCCTCCTTGCCCTATGCACCTCTTCTGTCTGTATGCTGAGTTTCTATCCTTTTATAATAAGTCAATAATCTAGTGAGTTAAAAAAAAATAATCTAGTGAGTAAAGGGATTTCTTGAATTCTGTGAGCGACTCCGGCAAATTAGTCGAAACTAAGGAGCGGGTCTTGGGAACCTGAGTTATAGCCAGCCCATCAGAAGTACAGACAACCAACCACCTGGTCTTGGAACTAGCATCTGAAGTTCAAGAAAGGAGAGGGAGTTGTGCGAATTTTCAGGCTGTAGCAGGTTGTTGAGCACAGCTGACAGCCTCTGATGCAATTCCCACCTAGGTAGTGTTGACGTCTCAGACATTCTGCTTGTGTCTGAGAATTGCTTGGTGGGGGGGACCACCATCAGTGGAATTAGGTCCAGAACCCCTTGATATGGTACATCCATTCTACACGGGCATTAAGCATCCCTCGTCCTTTTCATCAGCAGTCCTTTAGAGGCAGTCTTTAATTCTGCCTGCAGGTCTGCGTCTTCCTTTGTACTCCGGCTCTGCCCTAGTGCATTGCCTCTTCATCAAAATGAATTTTTTTTTAAAGATTTATTTATATATGATAGACACAGATATAGAGGCAGAGACACAGGCAGAGGGAGAAGCAGGCTCCATGCGGGGAGCCCGATGCAGGACTCGATCCCGGGACTCCAGGATCGCGCCCTGGGCCAAAGACAGGCGCCGAACCGCTGAGCCACCCAGGGATCCCCTCAAAATGAATTCTTGAACATCTTCCTTACTCCAGTCCATTCAAATATTGCTTCCTGGCTAATTTTCCTCAAACCTTTTTATCACATCAGCACTGTTGAAAAATTTATAGAACAAATCCCAACTCCTTCCCACCCAGTGTTTCCACAACTTAAGTGTTACCTGTTTATCCTTCATAAAAGGCAGACCTTCTCCTTGTTTTGTTTCCTGAACAGTCTTGCTCATTTTCCCCTCTTTTGCTGCTCCTTTATTTACAAGTCTGAAATCTCTATTACTCACACTTTAAGGCCCAGTTCATGATGATAAGCAATTGAAGAAATTTATCTATCCTTTTTCCCTCCACGATTTCTCCAAGCCTAATGTGCTATTTGGTTCTTTTGTCTCTTATTCGTGTAAGATGAAGCTATAAATACTTTTAAAATAATGTGTGAGAATTTATTAATCCAGTGTCACTCTTACACGCCTTATATATGTTCTAATTATTGTTTTTGAAACTACATTTCTTAGCCTTACCTTCAGAGCAAGAAGCATAATCTTCTGAATAGTCTTAAGAATAGCTAACCTTTATTCTCTCATAGGGGTTTATTATTTTTTTTTAATGGCCAAAATTTAGTTGGAGCAAAGACTGATTAATAGAGTGACTAATATGATTTCAGCTTTGCTTAGCTTTTATATTTAACTTACAAAATAGCTCATATTTTTAAAAATATACATTTATTTTGGTCTTCACCCAAATGGAATTAGTCTCAAATTTCTGACCTCTCTCACAGCACTAGCATATTAAGATATTCACCGCATCTCTCTTAATTCTCGTTTTATAAACTTTTGCCTAGTGATCAATAAAATTTCCTGGAAAATATCAACTCGAGCACAGTAGAGGCTTGACATCCATGAATTTATTGTTTGCAATTTTGATTCGTAAGTGATCCTAGAGGTTGAAAGAGTTTAGCTGAGGCACAAATGCTTCACGCTCTGGGATACTGATGGGTAGAAGCAAACTCACATAGAGAGCGGCAAGTCTAATTAGCACCTAAACATCATCTCTTAGTACAGTTTTATTCTCTGTGTTGCAGGGAAAAATGATATGGTAGACTGAGTGCTATTTGGAATTAGGGGAATTCCTAAAACTCTCAGGATGTATTCTCAGGATACAAAAAAAAAAAAAAAAATCTATTGTATTCAGTAAAAACTAGTGCTTTTAAAATAAAATATAGAAAGGTAGCCCAGTCTCTTACTGGCTCACAAGCTCTGTTCATTCTTTTCAGGTTGGAAAGAGAGGAATTGGTATAGGGTTACAGATGGTTTTGATTTCATGTTCTTCTCTGATTTGTGTAGGTTTGCAGTGATTTTCAAGTTTAATAGTCTACATGACACACCTAATATGGAAGCTGGCATGATTTGGGCTTTTCAGTAATTGATTTGGACATATTTTGATGGTACTGAATAACAGGGGAATATTTGTGTGTAAATTGCTCTTATGCTTTTATTATTCTAGACTGAGACTTGAGAAACACGCCCGCATTGAAGCAAGAAAGAAAAGTTTAGAGAAAAAGAAAGAAAAATTTCTTCAGGAAAAGTTTCCACATCTTTCTGAAGCCCAGAAGTCGAGTCAAGTCTAAGATGTCTGAGTTCAAGTTGCCATTTTGTTTTCCTTGGGTAACAGTCTATATACAAAAGTAAATATGTATTAATTTATAAAGAAATTGTGTTTTTAGTCAAATGACTATCAACTATTTTAATTGTTAATATAGCATGCTAACTCTGGGAGTGGTCATACTTCTGCCAAGATTTTTTAAAAATCAGGTATAAAGTTCAAATACCCACTTTATAAATTCTGGCATCTAAGCAGTCTTAATACCACCTGTACCTTGGAATGGGGAAGTGATGTCAACTGGTTACAGCAAAGGCAGAGATTCTGGTAACATTTTTACTATTTGGCTAATAGCATATAAAGGGGGTGTGGATATTTCTGTTAAGAAACAGGGAGTACGGGATCCCTGGGTGGCGCAGCGGTTTGGCGCCTGCCTTTGGCCCAGGGCGCGATCCTGGAGACCCAGGATCGAATCCCCACGTCGGGCTCCCGGTGCATGGGGCCTGCTTCTCCCTCTGCCTGTGTCTCTGCCTCTCTCTCTCTCTCTGTGTGACTATCATAAATAAATAAAAATTAAAAAAAAAATAAGAAGAAAAAAAAAAAAAAAGAAACAGGGAGTACTTTCACTCAAAATCATGATAAATACATTTAGTCCTTAAAGTAGTGAAGTCACAACACAACAAAAATCCAAAAAAGTATTTCTGGAATGGCTAATAATTTTTATTTAATTTTGCAAGCCTAAGATAAAAAGCATAGGCAGTAAGTTTTACTAGTCAATAAAAACCAATTCTACCAATGACTGGTAATTAACATACTAAACAGAGTTGGAAAGCTTTTACTGAAAGCAAAATATTTAGAGAAAATAGACATTTATACAAAATTATAAAATGCTTGTAATAAGAATAAGTGCATTTCAAGGAAAGCACAAACTTATCTTAATTTATAGAGCCAGTTAAAGCCTTAAAAATTTTAAGTGGAAATTGAAATATGCAAAAATGTATAAACATTCTACAAAAGATGGTCATTCTTTTCCTGAGTATACTAAAGCTATGAAACTTAAGGTGACACAGGAAGGAAGAGCTTTGGGAACTCTCTTCAAGGGCATTTCCTTTCTACACATTGTTTCCCTCCTTCTTCATATTCTTGTTTGGAAATCCACATCTGCTGAAAGGTACCCTGTAAAATGGAAAGAAAAGTTATATATTGTGCCTTTTTATTAGAAAATACTTTTTAAATACCTTCACAACTCCTAATCTTTAAAGAACCCTTAAGCCCTTCCCCCCAAAATAAGTCTTCCGTTACTCCTCTATTTCTGCCCTCCTCCAGAACACCACAGACACAATTTGGAAAGAATATTAAGTCTTCCTATTCCTATTCAAACTGTCACGAGGCTTTAGAGACAGGAAGATGGGGGGGTTTAGCTATTATGGCTCGCTGCCAACCTATGACAACAATAGAAACTGTTGTTGGAAGGCTTGATCCCAGTACCGAATTGAAGAGCTGTCCTAGCACTTGACTAAGGGCAGCATTTAGATCCCAAAAGTGCTCATCCATCAGGACTAAGTTTTGCAAGTACACACACAATAGTATATAGGCGCTATAGAAGGTGGAAAGGAGGAAAATGACCCAACGAGGAAGGAGCCTCGGCTACATTATTAATAAAACATAAAGTAGGACAAATCCATTCCCTAAGATGGACTCTATTCAAGTGGATTCATGCATGGTAGCCTGTTTTGATCTAAAAAAGATCTATTAAAAAAAGATTGGAAATAGAACAAATATATAAGTAGACAGCTACAAACATTTATTAGCTTAAAAATGTTCAGTGTAAGTACTTCATGACATTTACTCTGGCTGCTGTGAGGTAAAGGGAAAATCCTCCAAGTCTAGGGTGCACGTAAGTACAAGAACTTTATCTCCTGATTTAAGGCAGGCACCATCTAAGTAACATGCAAAATCCAGCATCATGACTTCACCATTTGCCCCCAAAGCCAACTCCTGACTTCCTCCACCACACCAAGAGGCCAGGGAACAGCCTGGACCTGAGAAGGAATGATTGAATTTAACTGTGCTACAGAGAGGTCCTGACCAATGTCAATGGGAGTATGACACTGCCTTACTCCCAGTGTCAATGGGAGTATGAGAAGAGGCAGGAGTAAGTAAGTTGAATTCCCACTTTTCTTAGAGAAGGGAAACTGAAACTGGGCTGACAAATAGCCACTGATTAGGCACAGAAGCATTTTGTTAAATCAGAACATGTGGAACTATTAAGTCCTCTCCTCATTTGATAGTTGTAAAATACAAAGATGATGGATGCCCTGGAATTATTTTTAATCTTTTACTATACTCACTGGTACACTTAGGTTAAATGATTCAATAGACTGTTTTTCAAAGTAGTTTAGCTACTAACCAAAGATGCTAGAATCGAGCCACCAATCCAATAGACTGTTTTTCAAAGTAGTTTAGCTACTAACCAAAGATGCTAGAATCGAGCCACCAATCCATGAACTAAACCTCCGTTCTACCGTTGTGTTATTTGCGATCAATTTCAACCGCATACTCTAAAATAAAGAGAGAAGTATTAGTACAAATTAAGAATGGGTGACTCAACTCAGAAAATTTAGTTTTGATGACTGCCTAGTAACTTTCAAATAATGGTAATACATGATTATTTTGTAACAGCTTGGCTAACAGTACGCATGGCTGAATTACTATATAAAGTACTTTCATAAAAATACTTTGTGGCCTTAAAATATAATATTTGACAATAAATTATATAAACCTTAGGAAACTGCAATTAAAAAGTATGACATTCAATTTATATCACAGAATAGCAAAGACATACTGAACACTTACCTATAAATCAGGTACTGTGTTAAGTGCTTCATACACCATTTCATTTCTTCCAACATCAAATCTTTTTTTTTTTAATACTTGGTTATTGTCTTTTTAAGAATTTTTTTTTTAATTTTTATTTATTTATGATAGTCACACAGGGAGAGAGAGAGAGAGGCAGAGACACAGGCAGAGGGAGAAGCAGGCTCCATGCACCGGGAGCCCGACGTGGGATTCGATCCCGGGTCTCCAGGATCGCGCCCTGGGCCAAAGGCAGGCGCCAAACCGCTGCGCCACCCAGGGATCCCCCAACATCAAATCTAATTATCATCCCAACCTGCCACCTTTCCTGTTGTCCTCCTCAACTTGATCGCTACTACTTTTTTAGGCCTTCATGCTGTCCTAATCCGTCCTATCTTGGGTCACTCCACCCTCCTCCACTTCCAAATCAAAATACAGACATCTAATTTCAGGTTAAGTTTTTGATTCATACTGATTTCCTCCAAAATTAGTGTTTATAGTTTGAAGTCACACTTTTCTTGATAAACATGGTTTTATGGCTTAGTCCTATCCTTGTCTCCCTGCATCAAGAGATTTTTTTCCTCTACCTAGGAGTTTGTATCTGGGGATAGTTCTCAAATTGTTGATATTTCCCTGTTTTTTTAATACAAACACACAGTTTGAGTCTTACACAGTGGAAAACTGTGTATTTTTTGGGCGTGGAATATGGAAGGGAGGAGGTACTAGGTGCAAGAGAAATGAATATGGATTTTTATAGGTGAGGAACTGGTTGATATCTGTTGCAATGAGATTTTTTTTGTTACTGCATTGATCTTTAATTGCCTCCTAAATGACAAGGATAATTAACTGCTCTTGACCAGATCTTGGACAGCCCAGGTTGACAGTCATTACTCTGGGACTTCCTACCAAACCTAGTAATTAGTACTATATAATTAAGGTATTTTCCAGATCAGACCATATACTCCAAGAATGTAGTAATCAGGTGCAATCATGTACCTATATTAGTATTTAAATAACAATTATAAATGTGCCATATGTAAAATGTTCCTTTATATGAGAAACAAAAAGACTACCGAATATACAAATTCTATGGATAACATAAGGGCCCATGTAACCCCTAATACGTTTCGTTTACTATAACTACTAGTCCAGAGTGTAACATATAAAAAACTACTTGATAGAAGTTTTAAAATCTAAAGATTATGACTACTACTCTGTTATCAGTATGTACCAGACCTTCTCCTCAAACCACATTTTTCTAATCCTTTTAAAATCCTTTTAGAAGTTGTCACAGTGTACCCAGTGATCTTTTTTAAAACAAACACAGGCGCTCTGCAGTCCTGCCAAATTTCATCCCAAAAGTTCACTATTAATAAGCAACAAGACCTGGTACCTATCTTTGTGGGTGGAATTATATCCCCAAAAGAGATATGTTTAAGTTCTCATCCCTGGTACTTGTGAATGTTACCTAATTTAGAAATAGGTTCTTTGCAAATATAATTAGGATACAAATTAAGGTAAGGTCATAGTGGAACAGAGTGGACCCTTAATCCATTGGATGGGAGTTATAATGAAAAGAACAGACCCATGAGAGAGGACTGCCTTATGACAATGGAGACAGATGGAAGTGTTGGAGCTCCAATCCAATAACTACCAAAGGATTCCTGGCAGATAGTCAGATGCTAAGAAGAAGAATTCTCATCTGTATGTTTCAGAAAGAGACTTCTGGCTTTCAGAACAGAGAGAACAAATTCCTGTTGTTTTACGCCACCCAGTTTAGTCTGTGATACTTTGTTATGGCAGCCCTAGGAAATTAATACACCATCTATCTTTCCAGCCATATCACCCTTCCCACTTCTGCACAGACTATAAGCCAACTACGCTGAAATACTGGAATATGCCATCTCCCCTTCTGGTTTGCACAGGATATTCCCTCCACCTAGACAGCCTTTCATAAATTACCAATCAGTTGAACTATTCATTCATACAGCTTCTTCATGAGGGAGTTAAGTGCTTGATCTACAGTGTTCCCTGGAGTGGTTCATGACATACTAACACCACTTAGTATGTTAGACTTTATGCATGTCCATTCATCCTAGCAGACTGAGCCCTTTGTGGGCAGGGACTATATTTTATATCCCTAGTGCCTAGCAGACTAAAGGTACTTAAATATGGAATCAATGAATAAAAGATCCAAATAGTACAAAAGTCATCTATGAAAAGATGTCATCTATGCAAATTTAATCCACAAGGGCTATTTATTTAGGTAATACTATGTTAGGCACACACAAAGTATCAATCTACTACTGAAAAACAAACCTTAATCTATAAGATTCTACCAGTGATGACACATACGACTGAAGAATACCACTAAAGAACAAACAAAACTTACTGGGGGAGTTTTCTGAGAGAGCTCTCTATTCAACCTGTCAGTAAAACTCTGTATTAGCGTGTTTCCTCCTGCCACTATAACACTGCCATAGAGACCCTAGGATAAAAAACAAAAATATATTAGTTCCAAATGTTTCCAACAGTTTTAAATACAACTACAACTAATACTATATCCTCCTCTACAATTTTCCCTTTTTTAATTTTCTTACTTCTATACAGATCAGGTAGCTTGATCCAGTGGTTCCCAATCCTCGCTGCACATTCAACTCATTTAGGGAATTTATAGAACATCAATGCCTGGGGGCAATTAAATAAAAATCCAGGGGTGGAACCAGGCAAAGGTTTTGTTAGTTTTAAACTCCAATGATTCTGGGGCGCCTGAGTGGCCCAGTCGGTTGAGCATTCAATGCAGTTTTAGCTCCCATCATGATCACAGGGCTCATGGGATGAAGCCCCACCTTGGGGCTCTGTGCTCAGCAGGGAGTCTGCTTAAAGATTCTCTCTGCCCCTGCCTCCACTTGCGTGTGTGGTCTCCCCTCTCTCTTTAAAATCAATAAATAATTCTTAAAAAAAAAAAAAACCCTCCAGATGATTTAATATAGATTAAGGCTTAAGAACCACTAATTTAAAGCAATTATTCTAAAACTAAAACCCAATCATAATTTTTTGGCAGATAGCTGCCAATATTTAGTAGAGGTATGTTTTATACCTTCACCTTGGAATGCTCATCTAGAAGTATTCAAAATTAGACAGTGAAGATTATTTAATGATTATGACAGTGCATAATCTGATAAGATCCCTGACCAAAATGACTGTTACCTTTCTCTTTTGCAGGGGTATACATCAGAACGACATAGGGAACTTTTCCAAAATCCACCCCAAAAAACTAAGTCCCTACTTACAACCTCTAATTTGCATGTATGTATCGTATCAGAAAGCTAAATGTCAGCCTGCTTTTTAAAGTTTTTTTTTAATTCTGTTGTTAGTTAATATACATGTCAACCTGTATGCTTTCTAATGGCTAAGTTCATATTTTAAAAATTTATTCCAAATATCTAAATCCTCTAACTTTTAAAAGAGAAAATGGAATATAGAAACATGTCCTCTGCAATCAGTATTTGTTAATTAAGGGAGAAATCTCACTAAAAACAAAGTTATCACACTCTTATAGTAAGTATAATTCAATTTAATTGCCTTCCCCCAAAGTGGCCCTGAGTGTGTGTTAAAAATCTGTGTGCACATCCCTATTGTCTTAGAAGCACCATGTGTTTGCTAGGTGCTAGTTGAAATATAGAACATTTTTCATAGCCACCCAAAAGTCTTTTTTGATTTTTTTTTTTTTATGATAGTCACACACGCAGAGAGAGAGAGGCAGAGACACAGGAAGAGGGAGAAGCAGGCTCCATGCACCGGGAGCCCGACGTGGGATTCGATCCCGGGTCTCCAGGATCGCGCCCTGGGCCAAAGGCAGGCGCCAAACCGCTGCGCCACCCAGGGATCCCCAAAAGTCTTTTTTGAAAGTGTTTTTTAATACATCCCTAGCTATTAGTACTATGCTCTAAGCAAATGAATTAACTCAATCTTTTAAGGCAGTATGTTGGCTACAAATTGAATCTAGGGTTTAAATAAGATATATTCGATCTAATAAATACTATGTATATAATATGGAGCTAGCATTTAAAACTCTTGGTAAAGCACAAAAAATATGAAGGTTGATCCTCTAAACTCCATGTAAAAGTTATAACGTAATTTGAACCCACACCTTTCTGAACAATAAAAGCAGCAAAACTATATACAACAAAAGTTACCAATAATATTTATTTTGGTTTGTCACATTTTAGGAAATCTCTAGAAGAGCACTATCCAAAAAAAAACTTTGTGATGACAGAAACATTCCCTATCTGTACTGTCATACAGTAGCCATTAGCTACATTTACAATGTGGCTAGTGCAGCTGAAGAACAGAATTTTAAATTTTTACTTATTTTAAATTGTCACATGTGGCTGGTAGCTTCCACATTGGACACCATAGCTCTAGATTTCTGCATTTTTCCTTTTCTAGTACTTCATGATTTTACATACTCTAAAACAGATTTCAAAGTCAAGGGTCAAAGTTGCCAACTTAATTAAATATTGAAAAAAAAAATTAAATATTGATCTGGGAGCACTCTCTTACCCTAAAAAATACCTTTATACCATAAGCAGGAGGCTGACACTTACTGGTCTGATATCAATATCGCACATTCCAACACTTGTAGTGACAACGTGACTGACTCCCAGCATTGTATTTCCTGATAACCCCTACAACAACAACAAAACAAATGAGTAGTCAACAGAAGAACTTCAAACAACATACCCAAGAATATCTAGGCAGTCTTATTTAGGTTTTACAATTACACAAGATCTTCACATATACAGGACAAGCCATGCAAATTATGAATCAAGCTTTCATACCTTTACATTGGAAGGGTCAAATAATCCTTCAGGAATCTTTAACCGCTCTGCTCCAAAGTCACAGTTGTATCCATTAGGGAATTCATAATGAACAGTTGGCATTTGTGCAGCTACTCTAAAAACATAGTAAACATTAAACAAAAGACAGAATCCTATTCGAAATTATAAACTAAGAAATTATCAACTTATAAGAAAGCAGAATATCTTTCGTTATCCAATATTTCTTAACATAATTTTTTACCTTTAGACCAGTTAAGCGTATTCTGCAATTCTTTAACTAAATAAATCATATTTCTCTCCTCATTTATGAAGTATTCAGTGTTGAGAAGATTAGTATGAAGGTTTTAATGAGCTATTATAAATCTTATAGATAAAGAAAACATACTGTTCATCATAAGTTGAATCTGATACTTGAAGTACTGAAGCTTGAAAATCCTGGATAACACACTATGGATTAAAAAAAAAAAAGTTTTTAAGAAACAAGGTTATGGAGATTTGTCTTTGCAATCTATACTTTTGTAATATTATATTTGAAATACTTAATGAAACTGGACCATGTTCCTGGATGGCAAAGTCCTTTCATGGGTATAAATCTATCCAGCAAGGACTCAGAGTATCAAGAAACCCAATTCTAAACATCTGCATTAGAAACTAAATTATATGACATTTAAATTAACAGTAATTATGGAACAATAATGAGATAAAAAAAAAAAATCAGGAACCCTCATACCTGTCCTGCATAACAAAACTGGTTTCAGAACACTGTTCTTTCCTTAAAGATAAGCCTAGACTTAGATCCAAGATTATCTGAATATGTAGTGTATACATATACACATATGGCATCTTATGTAATTTTTAATGACTGCACAGAGTATAAAACAATTAAAAATTTTGCTACGAAATATATACAACCTCTGGGCTGCTAATGAAAAATCTCATTTAATATCTAGACAAACCATTAATCATCTTCACAATTTTTCCTTCTACTAAACATCCACAAAAAATCTTTATCTTTAGGTGCAAAAAAACATCAGACAGGATATACCTCTGACAAATTATGACTTTCATAGTCTTTTACTGTTAGAAATGAATGTACATTGTGGTGTGAGAGGTTTTACTAACCTCTCTTCCTCTAAGTTATATGTTCGGAGATGGATTTTTGGTAAAGAGAATCTTACTGGCTCCTTACTATGACACATTTTTTTTAATACGACATTTTTTTAATGACACATTTTTTTTAATATGGCTGACTGATGTTAAAAAGAACATAACTGAGCCATACTAGCAGGTCTCTACAGACTAAAACTATTATCTTAGACAAAAAAAATGAACAGAATAACATAATGTTTGCTTTTACTCCAAAATCAAAGTTCTTTCCAGGTCTTATCATAGTAATGTAAATGAATGCAGTAGTTTGTTGAGACAACTTGTTTGACAAATACAAAAAATAGCCCTTCCTCTAAAAATAAGCTATTATTTTTTATTGTAAAATATCATTAAAACTATAAAGCAGGCAGCCCGGGTGGCTCGGCAGTTTAGCACTGCCTTCAGCCCAGGGCCTGATCTTGGAGATCCGGGATCAAGTCCCATGTCAGTCTCCCTGCATGGAGCCTGCTTCTCCCTCTGCCTGTGTCTCTGCCTCTCTCTCTCTCTGTGTCTCTCATAAATAAATAAAATCTTAAAAAAAAATATATATATATATACACGCTCAGGGTGCTAGGTGGGCTCAGTTGGTTAAGCATCTGCCTTCAGTTCATGATCTTGGGGTCCTGGAATGGATCCCCAACATTCAGTGGGGAATCTGCTTTTCCCTCTCCCTCTGCCCCTCCCCCCGCTCATGCTCACACTCTCTCTCTCAAAATCTTGAAAAAAAATAATAAACTGCTCACATTCTATTAAAAAACTTACAGCCTATAATAGTTTTATGAAGAGAGTAAGGCTACTTACATTACACATGTAATTGTGCCAAGACCTTGTAACCTGTGGCAACTTCTCTTTTCTTTTCCAATTCGCTGGAGATCCTTCACGAACAGCTTCCTGAGTACCAAGAGCATGTGCTAGGTTAGGAGGGTTCACAACATAGGGGTGGAGAGTTGGAGATAAATTCCAAAATGAAAATCCAAGCATCACTTACTTTTGATGCAATCATATATGGAGGAATCAGTTCTATATTCATTTCTTGGAAGAGTTCTCTGCATTGCATAGTAATAAAGTCTCCAGCAAGAGGGGATTTTACAATGCCTATGAAAACAGATTAAACAAGGCTAGGACAGCATTAAACCCAAGCTCCTTGGGACATATTCTTCTGTGTATTTATATATGAATAATTTTTTCAAGTAGAAATAACTGAACTATCCCCCTAAGCATGAATGAAGCCATGTATCAGTTTTAAATATACATTATATTTTTAAATATACATTATATTTTTTAAGCCATGTATCAGTTTTAAATATACATTATATTTAACTCTTAACAAAGAGATCTTATTTGGAAACTGGTATGACTTGATAGTCCAATTCACTGCTGTATTTTCTATGTCTTCATGGCAGCTAACATCATCTCAGTGTACCCTAGTTAAATCCATTTACCTTGCTGAAGGACATAACCATCATGAACTGGAATTGCAGTGGTATGAGTGGCTCCACTGTCCAAAATTAGCCCAGTAGAACGACCATTAGCAAATCTAGTTTAAAGCATTAAGGAAAAGAAAGTATCAAGGCTCCTAAAATAATGTTTATTATAAAGGGAAAGTTACTAAAGCATTCTTAAACATGTGTATCATGGCTTAAGATGTGTTAAAGTTAATCCAGGGATGAAAACTGGTGTCAAATAACTCTGGGTTAAAGACAAATGAGAATAGGCAGAACTTCCATAATGATGATGAGAGGAAGTCAGGGAAACCTTTATCCCAGAGAGAGACATCTATTAAACTGGTCAAAATTAGCACAATCTTTCAAAGTCTCCGGAGACAGATGAAAGGACTTATAACAAATTAAGAAGCATTTAACAAAATCTACAGAAACTCGGTACGAACAGTGGTAGGCTGTGGCATTTGAGCTACAAACTAAAACCATTCTCCACAGAGGATTTAAAAAAAAAAAAATCTCAGCAGTGTAGCAGCTGAGTGGCAGTTCCCACAAATCAATAGGAAAGCTATTCCAGGTGGATTCAATGGCCAGCAAATATATCAGCAGATCCCAGCTTTCCACAGCTCTGTGCTGCAGAAGGCCTGTGGTCATGAACCTCATAAACCAGTACTCAGGAGTAGGGCCATTCACATGGTCATCAAGTATTTACTGAGCATCTATTATGTGCCTAGTGGTAAGTTTGGTACTGAGGGAAGGTATCAATCTGGCACTGGCATTCCCAAGCACAGAAGGCACAAAAAGGTGACCCAAAGCAGGCTCTACCCAGAAGGGTATCCTGTTTAGTAAAAATCAGTAATGCTGTGAAAAGAACAGCTCAGGGTGTCCTAGGGGTATAAAGGAGAGACCACTTAACCAACGCTGGGGAAATCCAAATGTAAGGTAGGAAGGAAAAGACAGGGAAGATAGGAACATGTAGGAAGGCCAGCAGGCAAGAGGGTACAGTGAGGCCAAGGAAGTGCAAAGTAGTTCAGGAGAGCCTGCAAGAATGTACATGATTTTGGCTTAAAGCAGCCTGGCAATTAACAAAGATTATTAGAGGGGCAGTGGGAATGGACAAGGTGAGAGGATGGGTTGCAATAATCCTGGAAATAGCTTACACCTAAAGCAGTGGCAGTGGAGAAATAAATGGATTTTGGAGGTAGTGGGAAGGAAAAAAAAAATAGGTCTTGATGACTGACTAAATTTGAAGGGTTAAAGAGAAAGATTTCTGGTCTGTGCAACTGGAAGCTAGACGATTTTTGGAGAAGGAATAAATTTGAGAGGAGAGAAGATTAATTCAGTTCTGGACATAATGAGTTTAAAGTGGTTCAACAGAGAATACAAAAAGTTCTAGTAGGGCACCTAGATGTGGGCCTGGAGCTCACAAGAAAGATCTGGGATACAGAACAGTACAGATTTGGAATCTGTTAGTGTATGACTGGTGTCTGAAGCCAAGGAAATTAATAAATTAAACCAGAAAGAGCATGTCAAGAGAGATGAAGGGCTAATGGCAGAAAACCAAGCAATGGGTAAGAAATGATCAGAATCAATAAGAATCAATGGCCAGAAAGACAGGTTGGTGATTTATCTTTGCTAATACTGGTACTCTACTGACCTTTGGTCAACTATACATATAAATGTTAAATTGAGGCTCTATTAGTACAAAAGGACAGATGCAGTAGTACCAGACTAAAAAGTAGCATAAAGATATATGGACCCTCCTAAAAATAACAATCAAAATCTGAACAAATTATCTTAAATAACCACTTTAAGACTAGAAAGCTTTCAAAAGCAGCCAAAATTTAGTCTCCTAGAACTGCAGCTGGAAGGGGTAAGAAGCTGAAGTAATAGCTTCTGTGCCTGCAGGTGCTCCCCAGCTCCATGGCTACGGCTTGGGAAAGCAGTGGTGGAGAACTGCACCTTCACCACTTTGAGTGAACAGAGGAAGTTCAGGGCTGGAAGAAAAGCTGGACAGGTAAAGTTGAAACGCTACAAGCCAGGGAACAACAGAAAGGGTAAAACCCAAATCTGAGTATAAAATATACCCACATCGCTGACTGACTGCTAAACTATTCAGGGCCAGGACTTTGGGGGCCCAACAAAAACAGAACACAGACTAATCCACTCTTCAAATCAGAGCAGCACCTGTGAGTTCTGTGATTTTGTCACATTTTTAGCTAAATGCATTCTCCAACAGTATGCAGCTTGGTTCACAGAAAGCCCTCCTTACTAGCTTGAGATGTCAAGAGGACAAAGCCTGAAGTGGACAGATAGAATAACCCAGTGGTCAATTAAGTCAGATAAAACAATGCTACCCTTCTCACTAATATTTTTGTTCTTGGAAAGCATATCTTTCATAAAAATGTTATTTATGCTAACCTTAATAGATCTTTTTTGGTCATTTTTAAGTGAATAATTAAAAGCTAAAACAATTCTTAGTTGGGTGGCTCAAGCAGTTGAGCATCCAACTCCTGGTTCTTTTGCTCAGGTCATGATCTGAGGGTCATGAGATGGAGCCCCACATTGGGCTCTGCGCTCAGTGGGGTATCTGCTTCTCTCCTCCTCCTCCTCCTACTGCCTCTCCCCCACCTCACGCACTGGCTCACTCTTTCATATAAATAAAGTCTTAGTTTTAATTTCTCACAGTAATACTGACAGATAAAACCCACATAAACAAAATCTTTTTGCAGTCCTCAGTAATTCTTTAAAGTATAAAAGAGTCCTGAAGCCATGCATGTTTGAGAGGTCAAAACAATTTTTAGAATAATACTCATATGTTATTTGCCTTTTCCACTGTCATTTTCTCATGAGTGTATAGGTGACTTTTCCAAAGACCATGTCATATGTGATCCAGAACAGACTGAATGCAAAAGACAGATATGAGAATCCAACATCTGCTATTAATAAGCCTGACATTAAAGAGATCTGAACAAATATAAAGTAATTCCACTCTTCTCATAATTTTTTTTTGGTTTTAGAAAAGTTAATTTTCATTAAAACATTTTATATTAACCTACAATGATTTATTATTTAAACTAATAAATCTAATTTTTTGGTTTCTATTTTAATTTCCAATATGGTAAAACACTGACAGATATAATCCACGAAAGCTCTGGTTATAAAAGGTTCGAAATCTGCTGGGCTAGAAAAACATAGTAAAAGGACATCAGTCAGCCAAATCCAGAAATGTAGGAAATTCTACAGGACAATCTACTTCCTTAACAAACAAATTACAAAAGAAAAAAAGGGTCTAGGGGAATAGAATCTACAGATGAAGAGACATGCTGAACAAATATAATGTCGGGCCCAGACTCAAATATACTAAACAGTTTTTTAAAAAAGGTTGTGATTACTGTTTTTGTCTTTAGACACATGGTCAAATCTTTTAGGGATCCATGCTAAAGTTCCTATGGATAAAACTGTATCATCCTTGGGATTTACTTCAAAATCACAGTAAGAGGGGGACTGGGTGAGGTTGTAACTACTACAAGTTAGCTATGTGTTGAAAATTATTAAACTGTGTGATGTGCAGATGGAGGTTCAATATAATACTCTTGTGTTAAAAATTTTCCATAGAAAAAGGTTAAAAAATAGAACAATGCCCAATTCTGTTTATACACTCTTTATAAGGAAGTAGCCAAATAGACCTATATTCAAATTTAGTAAAGCCACTTTGAAATTGTGAACTTGAACCAGTTTGCTTACTTTGACTTGAGAGGGTTATTAATGAGTATCAATGAGATAATACACACAGTGCCATCCTCTACTCAAAAACGTGCAATGGTTCTCTAGAGTCTAAAGTTCAATTTTTTTAAAAAAAGATTTTATTTATTTATTTGAGAGAGAAAGAGAGAGCGAGCACAAGAGGGGCAGTGGGGAAGGGAGAAGCAGGCTGCCCGCTGAGCAGGGAGCCCAACGCAGGCCCGATCCCAGGACTCCAAGATCATGACCTGAGCTGAAGACATTCAACTGACTAGGCCACCTAAGTGTCCCTAAAGTTCAAATTTTTAAAACCTAACATGTAAGGTATCTATAGTTTGACCCAAACCTATTTCCTTCTGAAGTCTAACAGAAATCTTCAAAGGAAAGAAATCTTCACAGGAAAGAACACTTACACTTTCTACCTCCACACTTTTGCTAAATTCATCTTCAAAACAGCACTACAGACAATATTAGATTACAGTCCCCACAGTGACTGTCACATATATGTAAAATTTACTTAAATAATATAGCAATTGAGGAAGGTATACAACATAAATGAGTAAAAAGTGAAGCTAGGTTTTAAGTACTTAATTCAAAATCAGTTTGTAAGCATTTCAACTTGAACTCTAAATACAGGGCTCCTTCCCCCACCTCATACAAATCAAATCTATTCTCTTCATAAAGATTCGTCAGGCAACTATTTTCCTCTGGGGAACTTCCACAATTCCACAAAAAATTCTAATTAATCATGTACTTCTTTATAACTTTTGCCAGTTATTTTGAAGTGCTTATATTTAAATCTATTATTTACCTTTAAACAAGAATATTACATTACAAATTCTTTGAGATAAGAACATAACATTTCTGTCTGTCCCTTAACATGCCTACAATTAATATTTGATTTTTTTTAAATTGGTGATTTAATCTTAAGTGAATTTATATATAATTTCCACTTTTCTATGGTAATGGGAGAAGAGAAAGGAAATGGCAATCTTTGAATTTGCTTAAACACTATCTTCTATTCCCCTACTAAGAAACAAAAAATTTCAAAACCTTATCAACAAGCAGGATTTGAGCATTTCTTTATTTCCCTCTAATAACTTCTGGTATATCTTTTCCAATAAGAAATACTGAAAGATAAAAAACGAGAGAGAGAAAAACCCCAAACTTCTGAACAAGCAAGAACTGGCTCATGTCTTCCTGCTGGGGGCATTCTCTTTAATGGTACCATATTTACTTTGAAAGAAAAGCTGAATGTTACTCTTTCAAGGATACGCTGTCAAAACTGCAGTTTTGCAAAGGAAGAATGCAGGGATGTTGTAGTGTTCAAACATTAACTCTGTCAGTTTCTCTCTCTTTGCTCTAGTATTCCACTTGAAAAGGGGGAAAAAGAAATGCAAGTTATTTACTGTTTAAAAACTAAAATGTTGATTTATTTCAAGATTCAATATAGCACCACATTAACAAAGATTTAAACATTAAAAACAGAATAGAATACCACATAAAATAATCTTCATAAGAATATATGTGTATTTATTTCTATTTATCTGTAAATAAATTCAGTAAATATAAATGAAAATTTATAGTATAATTATCTGTTGCTATGAATTCTACAAGTTACAGACTTCAAAGTACAAGAAAATCACGATTCTTATAAACTATTATTAAATCTTAAGAATTAATCTGGTAATTTTAAACCACCAAATTCTCCTAGAGTTGGTACACATAAAGAAAACTATAGGTTAAAAACAATAACAAAATATTGATAATTTATTATCATTACGATAATATCGTTAATTTATGATCGTTATGGGCTGATGGGCTCTTTGGACTCTACTAAATTTATTTCACAAGAGACCTGGGTCTAGTAATTTCCAGCCCTAGTTCCATATTTGACTTCTCTCCTGGAAAATAGAATATAAAAGCAGATACACCTTGCCGCTGGGGCATATGGGACAATTCATAAACCCAAATGGGAAGTGGCCCAAGGAATTCAAGTGTTAAATAAATCCCTGGAAAAAATAAATAATCAAATTCCATTTAGGGTGCTTTGTTATTGTTCTTTGAATATTTTAACTACTGAAATAATAAAAATTGTAATAGGATATAAAAATTAATCCTCCTTTCCCTAATTTTCAAAATTCAAAATATGAACTTCTATGCCTCTTTAAAGAAAAAAGAACACAATCTTTGAATGAACTTAAAAAACAACTACAAAACTCAGAAAAGAAAGCCTGTCTTACCGGTGCTTCTGACATGAGAACAGGATGCAGGCTGGCTTCTGATTTGACATGCATTTTGTAGGTATGATCCAAAATAGCCTGGAAACTATCCCAGTCTTCAACTACAATAGAAGATTAATACCTTGAAAACAATGCTTAGTTGAAGATGAACACAGAATCTGTTAAGAGATGGTTTCTGTAGTTAAGCATGAACATAGAATCTACTTATAGATTTACTTCGTAATACAGTACTTTATATAGACATCATCTTTGTTGTCTATAAACACGGAGCCTCTTTTTGGTTACTCCAGCCCCAACAGTATCACAACTCCTAGACCTGTCCCAAATATAATTACTGTATCTAATAGACCTAAAATGCCAAATAAATATTATTCAATAATAATGTCTTACTAGAAGCACAGTATGCAATCTGAATGGTAAGAAAAAATACAAAAGAATGGTATGATCTAGATTGGATATCAAAAAGCTTACAATCTACTTGAAAAAAAGATTTAAAAACCTAAAAAAAAAACCTTCAGGGAATAGGAGTTCAATTTGGCTTCCACCTAAACATTCCATCGAAAATGCTTGCATAAGGGATCCCTGGGTGGCGCAGCGGTTTGGCGCCTGCCTTTGGCCCAGGGCGTGATCCTGGAGACCCGGGATCGAATCCCACGTCGGGCTCCCGGTGCATGGAGCCTGCTTCTGCCTCTGCCTGTCTCTGCCTCTCTCTCTGTGACTATCATAAATAAATAAAAATTAAAAAAAAAAAAAAGAAAGAAAATGCTTGCATAAGTCACTAATGACCTGCTGACAGACAAATCCAGGGGAAACTTCACATTTGTAATACCCTTGACTCCTTCAACATCATCTGACACTACTGAACGCTGAAGAGTTTACAAACTTGCTCTGCCACAGTCCAAAGAAAAAAATGTCATTACCTGTACAACATACTCCCACAGGCATATGAGGATTTTGTTTGTCTGGTCAATGAACTGTTAGTCACTCTAACACTTCCTTTCTTGTTTAAATCTCAATGTCACAGCTGAGAACAATGAAAATGAATCACTTCTATGCTCCAAGAACTTTTTCTTCGCTTAGCCTTCTCCTGAATATTATTTATCCTCCTACATCCCTAACTGTTCCTTCTCATTCTCCTTCATGGGCACCCTTTCTTCTCTTTGGATAAATACAGAACAGGCTCTCACAAGGGACGCTATCCTCCACCTGTGTCTCATCTTCCACATGCTTTCTGGCTAATATAATACAACTCCATGTCTTAAAATTCTTCTCACCCACTTACTACAACAGCACCTATATTCAAATACTTTGCACACAGTAACTAAAAAAGATCTGCTTGCAAGGCTGACCCTTAGCTGGCATCTGAGAACTCTGATTGATAACTACACTACACTGATGAAACTTCCCCTAAATGATGAGAGTATTTCACTGCACCTCAACTGTTTGTACAATGTGGTTTATGATGAACACCTTTCCCTCTGAGAACCCTATGTTTTAGTACATGCAAGGCACGGGGTACCCACATGATCACCCCCAGTAAAAATTGTCTCTAATGAACTACTCTGGTAGACAACACACATGTTACATCTCATTGCTGGAGGAATTAAGTACATTCTGCTTGACTCCACTGTGAAAAGACTCTAAGAAGTCTGCACTGCTTTCCTCTGGACTTCACTCCATGCCCTTTCTTTCCTGTTAATTTTGCTTTGTATCCCTACAGTAGAATAAATCTTAGCCATGAGTACAACTATATTCGGAGTCCTGTGAGTCCTTCTAGTGAATAACTGAACGTAAGAGTGATCTCTGGTATTACATTTGCCTTTTAAGACCATAAAACCTCCTCCTTCCCATTCTATCCTACATCAATGCATGGTACCCAATCACCCCAATAAAAAATCTAGGAAAATTTTCATCTCTTTGATAGCCCTCAAAGCCAACTCAGGATCTCCATCAGTAATAAAATGTGAACCCTCTTCATTTCTCATCTGAATTCTAGTATCTTCCTAACTAATCCTAGTATCTTCCTCTAATCTAGCCTATATACACTGTTAGAATCCTCCCTCTAGTTGGAAAATATGAATATTTCATATCTCTGTTTAAATTCCTTTGGGGTATCCTTTCATTTGCCAGCTTAATACACCCCTGGTGTGGTGGTTTACAAGTCCTATCATGATTGCTCTCTGCCCACCTTTACTGCAACTGGTCCTAATACACCCACTGTTACAGGCATCCTTAATTGATGACCTTTCTAAACATGTAAGCTTCTTCTGCAGCTCCACCTATTTACATATGCTGGTTGCTCTGCTTTACTCAACCTTGACATTCAGACTAATCCTCATTTATTGGTCAAGATCCAGTACAAAAGCTACCTCCTTTATGAAAACCATCACTGACTTCCAGTGACAGAGTTAAATACCTCTCCTCTCTAATCTCACTGCTTATCAAACACAGCTGTAACACTTAACCTACATATTTGTATATTTATATCTATCTCCCCTATGAGTTTCTTAAGGAAGAGGAACAAGTTGATGCACTTTGTATTCTCATGCCTGGAACAGAGAGTTTGTGTAATAAAAACAACAAAATATCCAATATTCGAATTATAGGAAGTTTTGTGTCTGGGGCACCTGGGTGGTTCAGTTGGTTAAGTGCCTGCCTTCAGCTTAGGTCATGATCCCAGGGTTCTGGGATCCCAGGGTCCTGGGATGGAGCCCCGCATGGAACTCCCTGCTCAGCAGGGAGCCTGCTTCTCCCTCTGCCTCTCCCCATCCCCTGCTCTTCTGTGCTTAAGCTCACACTCTCTCAAATAAATAAATAAAATCTTTTAAAAAAAATTAAAAACAAAAATTCAATAAAAAAAGAGGTTTTGTGTCTAAAATGTAGCACGCATACTCTATAAATCAAATCCATAGAAACAAATATTGTACCCATTCCATTTTTCAGTGGTGAAATGGCCTCTGTGTTCTCCCTGGGAACGCGCAGGGCATTAGTATCTATGTAATAGGTGGGGCCGCCCTGTTTGCCTTTATCACCGTCTATTTCCATCAGTGTGCTTCCATCATCTCTTTCTACCACCATACCAATAGCTGTGGGGAAATCCACCTGGAAAAGTCAAAAACATAAGAATACAAGTTTTACTTGCTTTTACCAAGTAGTCGTTTTTTTCCAACTAAAGTCTTTTACCATAATTGAGTCAGAATTTCTGCATGAATTTAATTCTGCATAAATGTCCCTTTCATATCTAATGAACTAACACTATACTTACCTTGGGACAGTCTTCACCAGCATAACCAGCTCTCACAGTATAGGATCCAATATCAAAAACAAGAGCTCCAACTTCATCTGAAAAGATGAAAGGATAATTAACATTAACACAGGTATCATATTAAAATTAAGAGTTGTTAATGTGCTTAAAATAAGAATGTGAAACCTCTATTACAAATTAAAGAAAGTATTACATTCATATTATTACTGGCTTGAACCTAGTTGGTAAATACACCTTAAAAAATAAAGATTCATTTAATTAAAATATAACAAGTAATACATTGTATATCAGCAGAGGTTCAATCAAGAATGAGATGGTACACTAAAATTGGGTAATCTGCAAGAGTTTACTTATTAAAGGGACTATTTATAAAGATACAGGAGGCACAATACAGGAAAACCAAAAGGGACAGTATGGTACGCTAGCACTAATAATAGAGATTTGTCACCACCCTTAGAACGGAAGAAACATGGAGAAAAACTGTTACCAGAACCTAGAGAGAGTTCTATTTGGGGGGCTACCTGACAGGAGCTGTGACTTCAGTTGAGGGATGCAGGGACCCATGACTAACCCTGAGGGGAAGAAATCATACTAATAAATATGCCAACCTCAACCTCCCTCTTCCCCCTCTTCATTGGCTCAGGTGATCTTACAATTTCTCACCCAACTGGGCTACTAATGAATGCAAAAAAGATCCTCTATTAATATTTCTACCAGGACAAGAGGCATGAAGCAGGATATGGTTACCCTACCACTAGCCAAACCAGAGGTTAAGAGACCCACTGAAGCAGTCTATAGTGATCATCCTTATGGGCACAAAGAGGGTGGAAATGGGTGGAAAGTAGATCTGCAGGGGGAAGTGTAGTGTAGTACACTTAGGTACCATTTTTTCATATGTTATGGGAAATTATATTCCATGCAATTAGAGAAGAAACTTAGCAAAACTCTTTTTCCAAGGAAAAGAGGAACTCTGGATAACAGTTTTTTGTTGTTGTTGTTGTTGTTGTTTTTGTTTTTTTGGATAACAGTTTAAGATATAATTATGCAGACCAAGTAAAAAAATCATCAAAATGAAGTTATCAAAGTTCACACATTTCAAAGATTTTTAGTAGAGTTTAATGCTGAAGAAGAAAGCTGGTAATTTTTTTTTCACATTCAAATTCAGAGAAAAGACTCTAATTATACTTTTAAAAGACTTTACCCAAAACAGCATGCCTCCAAAAACAAAACACTTGGGTTTCCCAGGCACTGATTTTTCACATAATTTTTTTTCAATCATTAAAAAAATAAAGAACTATAATTTACCTCCATTAAAAGGGCAAAATCCACCTGATAAGACCAAGTATTGTCAAAGATATAGGGAATGAAGAGCTCCCGCACATTTGCTTATAAAAGCTTTAAACTGATACAACCACAATGCACAATTTAGTCATATGCACTAAAGTTGAAAATGAGCATATCCAGAAATTACACTTTTATCTTCTCTAGAGAAACTCACACATATCAAAAGGAGACACATTTAAGAATGTTTACTAGCTATGTGACCTTGAGTGATTTCTAACCTCTCTGCCTCGGTTTCCCCATATGTAAATGTGCATAATAATAGTTCCTATCTCATAGGATGCTCTAATAATTAAATGTGTTCAATGCTATAATACATGTCAGCACTTAGAACAGTACCTGCACATAACCACGATAAGTGGGAGCCGCTATTACATTATCACCACATTGCTTGTCAAAGTAAAAGATAGAAATAATCTAATGGTCTCCTCAGGAGGGAAATAGAGCAACTATAATTTGTTCACACCATGAAATACTATAGAGCAGCTAAAATGAATGGTCTAGATCTACATGTATTAATATGGATAAATCTCCAAAAAAGGATTAGTTTGAAAAGCTATTAAATATATATGTGTGTGTTACTATGTATACATATATGAATACATATATGTTACATTATATATATATAGTTACTATGTACATTTATATGAATATGTTATGAAACTGTTTAATTCATTATGAATACACACACTTAGTAAAAGCACAGAGGTCTGGGGTTGTTGCATACAACTTCAGTTCTGTGGTTACATCTGAACCAGAGAGAAAGAAACTCTGTATCAATAATATTCTATTTATCTCAGACAAATATGGTAAAATATTACATCACATATAAACTTACATATATTTTACTTTTAGCATGTTAGAAGTATTAAAAATTAAATTTTAAAATAAAGAAAAATAAAAAAATAAAAATCAATGATTATATAGATATTTGTAGTTAAGAGATGGTGTCTTTACAGAATAATGATCTCATTTTTATTCAAATAAAATGAGCTACCCATTTTTATCTCTAGTTTGAAAGGAGGTTTCTGCATTTATTATATTTCCCAAAGTAATTATCCATTCTTTATACAATCCTCTGATCCCAATTATTTTATCTGAAAGCAGGAGTCCTTAAAAGCAGAACACTGCATTTGTTGTCACCATAGTATGTACATTCAAGTACAAAGAGTAAAGTTACCAATGAGTATGAATTAATAAACTTTAACACTAACAAACCAGAATACTGGCTAAAGAAACATCTTAACTAAATAAATGGATTGCTTTGCCTGATCAACCAAAATTTTCAATTCCTATTCCCAAGGTTCGATCTTTTGTCCTACACCACAGCTCTTAGCCTTTCCTGTATCACAGACCTCCTTCATAAAGCTCTGGGCTGACCTGTTTCCCCTAAAACCCATATGCAGAAGTCTTAACCCCTAGTACCTTAAAACATGTCTGTATTTAGAGAGAAGGTCTTAATTTAAAGAAGTGATTAAATTAAAATGAGATCATTAGGATAGGCCCTAAGCCAAATTTTTATGACTGGTGTCCTTGCATGAAGAGGAGATTTGGACACAGATACATACAAAGGAAAGACCATGTGAAGACACAGGGAGAAGACAGCCTTTATAAAGCAAGGAGAAAGATCTCAAAAAAACAAAAAAACAAAAAAAAAAAAAAACATAAAACCCTACCAACACTTTGATACCAGATTTCTTGACTCCAGAATGGAGAAAATTAATTTCTGTTATTTAAGCCACATAGTCTCTGGTGCTTTGTTACGACAGCCCTAGCAAATGAATATAGACACGTAAGGAAATTTATGACTCCCTTCTTGTAAGGTTTTAAAAGATTATAAAAGAAACGAATTAATTATAACAAAATATAGTTCTACCTGTGGATTACTTGGAGAAACTAGGGACCCCATATTTGGAAGCCCTCCCTTAATTTATCCTTTCATAGGTAATCTGTTCCACCCCTACAGCCTTGACTTCTACCAAAATATTAATAATTCCAATCTCAAATCTCTCAAGCTCTCAACATCATCTTGGATCCAATATCTTAAACTGTTTTTAAAATATCATAAATATTTTATTTATTCTCATTAAATGTCTGAATTTTTTCTTGGACTGGCAGCTCATATACATCAACTTGGTCAACCTGAGCACTGATCTCATCCTCAGTAGCTTTTCCAGAATTACTACCTTCACCATGAAACTCCATGAGCTTTCCCAATTCAAACTTGGGCTTCTTCAGCATTTTTACTTTTTTAACAAAGACGTCGACTTGTCTGTCTCTTCCGATGGTATCTAGAAACGGTCAATTTATTGACCACTTCTTTCAAGTCATTAGTCTGTACCTCTCAAGTCATAATTTCCATCATCTTTTTAAAAAGATTTTATTTACTTATTTGTGAGAGATACAGAAAGAGGCAGAGACACAGGCAGAGGGAGAAGCAGACTCCCTGCAGGGAGTCCGATGTGTAACTGGATCCCAGGACCCCGGGATCATGACCCGAGCCAAAGGCAGATGCTCACTGAGCCACCCAGGTCCCTCCGCACCCCCAATCATCTTTTTCTGTATTCGGTGGAACTGTTGGTGCTGAAGTCTTCTGAATCAAATTTTTGCATTTTTTGGTAAAACCAACACAAAATAAGTGAAGCAAATAACCATCAGCAATCTTGACCTCAACATGAGCTTCAATCATGTCTGCCACTTTTTGACCAGGGAACACATTTTGTCACAGGTAAGATCCATGTCATGGAAATCAGTCAGGTAGTTTTTGCCCTGAATCTTCTCAGTAATTAGCTTAAATTTTCTAAATGCAATTTCATCAGGTGCACTTGGATGGCACAGTCAGGCATTAGACTGTTGAACTCAGGTCATGATGGGAGTCCCCCACCCCCCTCCTTCACCCTGTGCTGGGCACACAGAGTCTGCTTAAGACTCTCTCTGCCCCACTCTATTCCCCCCCACTACCACGCATGCCTGCAATCACGCGCGTGTTCTCTCTCTCTAATAAATAAATAAATCTTTAAAAAATAAAGAGTAAAAATAAATTCAACTTCATCATTCTGCAGATTGCCAAGGCTCACTTCAAAATAATGATCCTTATGCCATCAGATGTGATTTTGGCTCCATTGAATTCTCATGACTAGTGTTTTTCCAATATTTCTTATACTGATATGTAGTACTTTCACATCAGACCAATTTTTCTTAGAAAAATAGATCAACTGCTTTCTTCTTGGCTCCTTTCCTGCCACATTTCATAAGGTACTTGTTCTTCACCAACCACCATGGTGCTACTCAGAGAGCCAAAAGACCTATCTCAAACTTCTTAGTGTACAACATCAATTCCTCCTGATGTCCCACTGGTACCTCAAATCCAATATATCTGAAGCACTGTCTTTTTTACCCCATCCTAACTAACCTAATCTCAGTAGTGATATCCCAATTAGCGGCCTAATCAGTGGAGGCAAAAAACTAAGAATTGTGCATGTCTTCATATTTCCGCTAAATAGTCCTCAGTTACCTTCCTCTTTACAACCACTACCACTGTCTTGAGTCAAGCTCTTTAAAAAAAAAAAAAAAAATTTATTTGAGAAAGCAAGAATGCCAATGCACAAGTCGGGAGGGGCAGAGGGAGAGAATCTCAAGCAGACTCTCCGCTAAGCACAAAGTCCAAGGCAGGGCTCCATAAAACAACCACAAGATCATGACCTGAGCAGAAACCAAGAGTCTAATGCTCAACCAACTAACCCACCCACCTTGAATCAAGATCTTAAAAAAGGAATTATTACAATTATTATGCTTTCCATCTCTCCACCTTCTCCCTTCCCTTTCAAACTGCTATACTGTGATCTTTCAAAATTGTAACTCTGAACATATGGGAACATAAATGCCTCAATGAAAAGAAAGCACCAATCAGTGGTTTCCCATCATCTACAAAATAAAATTCAAATCACTTCACCAAGTTGATATTCGAGGCCTAGCAAAACCTGGCAACTGGTTTCGCACCTCACCCACTAGCATTACCGGATAATGTTGTCTCCTAAACACACCGTGTACTCTCACTCAGTTCAACTTTGCATATACTGTCCTTCTCCCCTCTACTTCCATCATCCCCATAACCTCTCTTGTAAAATCCTCTGGTTCCCCTACACTGAGTTTTTAACTTTCTCGTCTGTTCTACCTTTGTACCTTCTATATATTGTCATTACTGAACACACTTCATTGAATTAGTTACCCTTTCTCATCAAGTTACCCAATTCTCATATTATACCAATGATAAGATGCACCATTATTTCATGCATTACTAAGAAATAAAAGCGTGCTGCCAATTAAACTCTGCCACAACATCAAGAAATATTCCATGTCAATTAGATTGGAATTAAATTATTTTAATTATGTAAAATAGAAAAACCTCCCCCAAAAAAGGAGAAATATTCCAACTTCAGCTCTTTAAATATGGAGGGGAAATGTATGACTAAAACTAAATACAATATAGTGTCTATGTGACTGACTCACCTACCTGTAAAACTGAGCTTCTCGGAGGCAGAGGCTATACCTGCCTGGCACATAGCGAGCATTAAAAAACATTTTATGAAATGAAAAATTCAACAAATCAATTACGTTTCTGTCCTAATTAGATGGCAAACTATTTTCTCTCTCTCTCTTTTTTTTTTTTTTTTTGCAAACTAGACATAGAATTTTAATCTGAGTGAGACTCTTGATTCTTGGAATTTGGATCTGCTTATTTTCCTTTTTCAAAGGATGAGAAATGGGTTTATTTCCTGTACCTGGTTTTGTTAAAAATTAAGTACCAATGAACCCAAAATAGGAGAATGGCAAAGGGAGATAGAAAGCTTAAACCATAACCACAGAGGTCTGGATATATAAAAACCAGGATACAGTTTCCAATAGATAAAAATTCTCAAGAGTTGGATCCCTTTGCTACTTCAAACACTGTTTTCACTTTTCTGAGGATGTTGATGTTTTTCCTATGGCTTCCAAGTTTAGAGGTGTGGTAATTTCTCTGGGAAAACATGAAGCAATGGTGGCAATTTTCTAACCAGGTCTTAAAACATTCCAATGTGATACTGAAGGCAAATGACTTTGGGAGAAAGTGGGAAGGTCGTTTTATTTTTTTTTGTTTGGACAAAGGTGCTTATGGGGATGATGGTTCTGAGAAATTTTTAAGATTAGAGATTTGGGGGTAACGGGTGCAGGAATGATGAAACACAATTTATCAAAGTTGGTCTATTTATTTTTAAAATGCAAGGTTGAAATAAAGGAGAACCATGGAAACATGGTCATAGTAGCAATGAGTAGGCCTGGAAACCAGTTAGAAAGTAAAGAAATCTTTCTATAATCAATTATGCATTATACTCAAAGCTAAAGATCAGTGTCAGATCTAGTCAGAAATCTTTATTAGAATAAAATAGCCATAAACTTTAAAATTTAAACTGCAAAGGTCTTTTAAATAAGCAAGTTAAAAATAAAACTTACTAATTAATTACACAAAACCTAGGTGGGAGGTTTGGTTTCTTTTCACCATACACCCTTTGGAAAATGTGACCCACTATAAATACTGGCCATACAGGGGTAACTCAAACACAAAATCATAACACTTATTTTTGTGAGCTTTAAATACGTTATATCTGAAATAGGCTTTAAGACATATTCCTCTCCATAAGCAAATGAGACACAGGATGTTTATTCTGAATACCTAAACCATACATGAATACGCTGTCGCTATATAACTGAAAAATAACTTATGGAGAAACAACCAAAAAACTTTTTAGTTTTAAGATGGGAAACGGTTTTATTGAAATGCCTTTTTCTTCGTCCCAGAGATTCTTGTTCACCCTTATGAGGAAATTATGTAACTCTGGGCCAGTTACTTAAACTTTTCCATACCTTATTTTCTTATTCCATAATATGGAGTTAGCAGTACCATCTCCTATGGCTGCTGCAGATTGAGTTAATACACATATTAAGTGCAACACATGAAAAGTCTCTGGAACAGTTCTTAGTACAAAGTATGCATTCAATAAATGTTTGCTGCTGGCATTATAAGTATCCACTTCTATCTCAGTCATAGTCAACAATGCCTTCTAAGGAAATAATCATGGACAGCTTCTAGGTACTTGGATCAGTGAACCTAAAGGTCAAAATAGAGTCAGCCTCCATGAGACACAAAGATCCACTTTTTGGGTCAAGATTGCATCTTCAGATGGAAAGGAGGTAAATCATGAAGATTCACTAGGCTTTCTCCAAAGTAAAAATGGGCAACTACTGCCTCTCACATTTGAGAAATCAAAACCCAGAATCTATACAGAGAAGAATGGGAGGAGGGGTCAGCATATTGCCCCAAAGAAACTCCTGCTACGTTCCAAAAATCAAGAACTTTGAGAACCTCATTTCTAATCCCTTACCTGTAAAATGCCAACTTCTTCAGAAACACTAACCTTACTAGACACGATAACAAAAGCAACACTTTAGATCTGTCTCCTCCTTTTCCGAACTCATCAAGCACAGCACAGACCAGAATCAGATACACCAGTGCCTCCTACCTATGTAGCAAGAATGAAAGCTCTGATTCAGTATGCTTAGAGGGGGCTCGAGGTCGTGCATTTCTAAAAAGCTCGCAGGTGATGCTGACGCTGCTCATCCCTGGACCGCAGTTTCTGCAGCAAGTGCACCATTAGCTCAGCTCACCGAACCTTCAAGCCCACCCCCGCTGGGTGGGGATTATCATTCCCAAAATGCGGGGCCCCGAAGTTGGGAAAAGCTAAGCGAACTTATTTAGCCAAGGCCAACGCGCTCAGTAAATAGGCTGGAAGTACAGGCAGCCAGGTCTGTGTAACTCCCAGGCCCGTGCGGACCCTTGCAGCCCACCACAGCCCCCCCCCCCACGGGACGAGGTCTTTAAGCCACAGGTGTCCCCACGAGGCACCCTGGAGAGCCCAGTCGGCCAACAGGCAGCTGTGAGGCAGCTGGGCGTCCCGAGTGGCCCGCACCCCCCGCCGCTCGCCTGGCCCTCGGGGACGCTGCGGAAACCCTCGGTCCACGCCTGCCCACCGCCGGGACCTCCCGAGTTTAAACCGGCGCGCGCCCCGACGGAGCCGGGTTACCGAGACTCCCGGCAGGACGCGAGCCCGCGAGCTCTGCGGGCCGGCCCCCAGGACGGAACGCCCGCCCAGCCCGCCCAGCCCGCGGCCGCCGTGCACCCCGAACACCGCGCTCCCCCGGGCGCCCGGGCTGGGAGGGACCGCGGGAGCGGTCGCGGCGCCGGGCGGGCTGCGGGCGGCGGGCGGCGGGCGGCGGGGGCGGGGGCCGGGGCGGGCAGAGCGCGGGGCGGGGACGGGGCGGGGAGGCCGGGGTCCCAGCGGGGGAGGCCGGAAGGGGCCGCCCGGGAGGGGAGGCTCGGGGGCGGCGGTCACAGACCCCGCACGCTGAAAAGGCGCGCTCTCCCGTCCGGCCGCACTCACTCACCTCCCCCGTACACCCCGCCGCTCATGGCTGCTGTCCGCGCGACTCCTACGCTACAGGCTACCGGGCGAAGCGACTGCGACGGCCGCGAGCGCGGGTCCCGAGAAGCACCAGCCCCCTACCCCCGAACTTCCACCGCCACCCCCCTCGGGCAACAAAGCAGCGTCCACACACCGCGGAGCTCAGCCACACTTGCTGCCTGCTCCTACCAGCCAATCATGGGAGGGCCGGGGACGCCTTAGCCAATCAGAAGGAGGCTGCGCTGCATCCCCGCCGCGGCACGGCCAGCTCAGCCAATCGACGGCAGCCATGGAGGCGGGGAAAGGGGAGAGCGACGGAAGGAGGGAAGGAGTTGGGTTGCGGAACTGGCCCCGGGCGCGGGAGGGAGGGAGGGAGGGGGGCTGGGCGGAGCTCCCCGAGTGGGCGGGAGGCGCGGCGGCCGGCGCGGCGGGCGGGGGGCACGCGGAGGCCGGCTGGGCGCGCGGGAGCCCGTGCGGCTCCGGCGGCGAACGCAGGCCCCTGGGAAACAGCCTGGAAACAGCGTGTCCACGCAGCGAGCCGAGTTCCGGACTCTGGAGACTGCAGAACTTTTTTCACCCCCCGGAAAAAAGTATTTTCAGCTACCTTTTATGTTAAAAAAATAAAGTAGTATGCTCAACTTTGGGGTAGGGGAACAGTCAATCAGATAAACCGGTAGGATCCTGCAATTTTTAAAGTGGTCATTAATGACTAAAAGGTGATGTACTATATACACTTTCCCCCAACTAAATTTAAGGAGCACTTTAAAAATGATTTTTTAAAGTATCACCCTTTTATCCTCTGACACAGGTGTAAAACAGTCCCCAACCGAGTACCTAGTACTAAATACATATCCACTGTCTACTGCTCTTAGTCTCCTTTTCTTTCTTCTTCTTTTTTTTTTTTTTTTTTTTAAGATTTTACGTATTTATTCATGAGAGACACAGAGAGGGAGAGAGAGAGGCAGAGACACAGGCGGAGGGAGAAGCAGGCTCCAGGCAGGGAGCCCGAGGCGGGTCTCGATCCCGGGTCTCCAGGGTCACGCCCGGGCTGCAGGCGGCGCTAAGCCGCTGAGCCACCCGGGCTGCCCCAGTCCCCTATTTTTATCAGCCCAATTTGGTCACTGTTGTCTCTCCCCTGAATTACTGCAATAACTTACTGCCTTGCCTCTTGGCCACATTGCAAGCAGCTCGACCTATAAAAAACACCCAAATGTGGTCATGTTACTTTAATTTAAACCCTGAAGATGGGTTGTATTATTCTTGTAGTTGAAAGTTCTATAGTTGGTTTCTCTAGAGTCTAGACTATAGGGCTGCTCCTAACCTTAGGAACCACAGAATAAAGCCCTGTAAGTCAGTGCCAGCAGCGTGGTAGAAAGTGATAGCAGGGTGAGGAACAAGGCTAGTGAGAAAACCTTCCCATTCCCTTGATAATATAATCTCAATATATGTGGCCATTTAGGAATCCCCATTAACCCAATGAGACAATGCAGAGGTCAGGAAACCATAGCCTCGTGGACACATCCAATCCGCTTTCTGTTTTTGTGTGGCCTATGAGCTAAGAATGGTTATTTCACTTTTTTTTTAAGATTTTATTTATTTATTCATGAGACAGAGAGAGAGAGAGAGAGGCAGAGACATAGGCAGAGAGAGAAGCAGGCAAAGGGAGAAGCAGGCTCCATACAAGGAGCCCAACGTGGGACTTGATTCTGGAACTCCAGGATCATGCCCTGGGCTGAAGGCAGGCGCTAAATTGCTGAGCCACCCAGGGATCCCCAGTTATTTCACTTTTAAATGGTTTTTTGGAGGGGCAAGTGGGTGGCACAGTGAGTTAAGTATCTGACTCTTGGTTTCTGCTCAGGTCCTGATCTTAGGGTGGTGAGATGGAGCCCTGCTTGGAGCTCTCCTCTAAGCACAGGGTCTGCTTGAGTTTCTCTCTCCCTCTGCCCCTCCTGCTTGTGCTCTGTCTCTCTGTCTCTCTCTCAAATAAATAAATAAATCTTTATAAAATAAATGCATGGGTTTTGGTTTGTTGTTTTTTTTTTTAAGATTTATTTATGGGATGCCTGGGTGGCTCAGTGGTTGCACATCTGCCTTCAGCTCAGGGCATGATCCTGGAGCCCCAGGATCAAGTTCCACATTGGGCTCCCTGCATGGATGGAGCCTGCTTCTCCCTCTGCCTGTGTCTCTGCCTCCCTCTCTGTTTCTAATGAGTAAATAAATAAAATCTTTTTTAAAAAAATTATTTATTTGAGAGAGAGCTGGCCCGTGCAATTGGGGGTGAGATGGGGGAGAGGCAGAGGGAGAGAATTTTAAGTAGACTCCCAGCTGAGCAGAGAGCCCCACTGTAGGCTCCATCTGAGGCCCTATAGATCAGGACTTGAGCTGAAACCAAGAGACAGTCTCTCAAGTGACTAAGCCACCCAGGACCTCCATTTTTTCTTAAGATTTATTTATTCATTTTAGAAAGAGAAAGTGCAAGCAGTAGGAGGGGCAGAGGGAGAGGGCAAGGGAGAGAGAAAGAATTTCAAGCAGACCCCCCAGCCCCTGTGGGGCTGATCCTAGGATCCTGAGATCATTACCTGAGCCGAAATCAAGAGTCTGATCCTTTTTTTTTTTTTAAGATTTTATTTATTTATTCATGAGAGACACAGAGACGGAGGCAGAAACACAGGCAGAAGGAGAAGCAGGCTCCCTTTGGGGAGCCGGATACAGGACTCCATCCCCAGAATCATGCCCTGAGCCAACTGCTGAGCCACCCAGAGTCACAAAAGTCTGATCCTTAACTGACTGAGCCATCCAGTCATCCCCATTTTTAAATAGTTTTTAAAAATATTTTTTAAAGGGCACCTGGGTGCCTCAGTGGTTGAACATCTGCCTTTGGCTCAGGTCATGATCCGGGGGTCCTGGGATTGAGTCCCACATCGGGCTTCCTGTAGGGAGCTTGCTTCTCCCTCTACCTATGTCTCTGTCTCTCTCTTTCTGTCTTTCATAAATAAATAAATTCTTTTTAAAAAATAAATAAAATAAAAATATTTTTAAATAATATTTTGTGACATGAAAATTATATGAAATTTGCATTTCAATGACTGTAAACTAAGCTTTACTAGGACATAGCCAGGCTTATTTGTTTATGGCTGCTTTTTGCTCTGCAAGGCCAAGTTGAGTAGTTATGACAGAGAATGTGTGGCACACTAAGCTGGAGAACGTGTTTATTATCAGACCCCTTGTAGAAAGAGTTACCAACCCTTAAAATAATTCGTTTACCCCATCTAGCACAGTGCACTAAGTACTCTAAGTTAACGGTTTTCCCCATGATTATAGCTCTCACTATATAGATACATAATCAACACTTCCATTTCCACTCTGTGGTTTTATGCTGTGTTTGACTAATAAAACTGATGGCTATAAAATATATGCTACTTTGGTAATAATTAAATATTGAAACAAAACTATTTGTGTTCATAATACATAGTAATTCATTTAAATCTGTTTACAATTTAAATGCATAGTAATTCATATCTACCAATTTAAGTAGATTATATACATTGATATCTCTCATCAATACTATCTCTAGGGATCCCTGGGTGGCGCAGCGGTTTGGCGCCTGCCTTTGGCCCGGGGCGCGATCCTGGAGACCCAGGATCGAATCCCACATCGGGCTCCCGGTGCATGGAGCCTGCTTCTCCCTCTGCCTACATCTCTGCCTCTCTCTCTCTCTCTCTCTGTGACTATCATAACTAAATAAAAAAAATAAAAAATAAAAAAATAAAAATAAAATAAAAAAAATACTATCTCTAACCTTTCCCAAACATGTTAGGTTGGGTTGAAAAAGTAAAATATTTGTCCTACTAGTTCAGAGTTCATCAGAAAACAGTTCAGTGGAGTTAATGAGGACCACACTGCAAGCCTTCAGGGAGGCCTGGGATGCCGGGAATGTCTCCACCCATAAAGAACACACTGGAGTTCAGCAGAATCTTCAGTGTGACAACACAAAGACAGCTTGAGAAAATACTGGAAAGTCATGCTTAGCTATTTTTGTTTTAAATAAGGGTTTTGCTTCATTTGATAATTTGAAAAAATATTAGAAAACATCATTCATAATTTCAGGTCAGCTTGTTCTCTTGATGTATCACTGGACATGTTACTTTATATGTTAATAAACTATTATAATGAACTTCAAATGAACTGAACTTCAGTCATCTGCTGTGTCAGGACTAATGACATGTTAATGCAGATGAAAGTGCACACCTAAGTCTTTCATAAATTTTAATGGAGCAAAATTGTAATAGGGCACTAAGTCTGTTGACCTTAACATATTGAATTACCGGAGAAAGGGATTATTAAGAAAGGAAACCTATTCAGCATCCCAAGAACTGTCAGGTAACTGCACATCCTTGATAATAATGACATGGTTTCCTTTGTGGCAAGACATACACTGGTGCAGCTTGTTGTCTTCTATTCCTCGTAATTAGGAAAATTGGTAGAAAATACATTAAAAGAAAAATACTGACCCATCAGAATCTATTTTGTAAAATATTAAATACATGAGGGTTTGGCATTTTTTTGGGGGTGGTGGTGGCTAATATTAGGTTAATATTTCTCCTTCATAGCCTAACATGTTTCCCCTAAAGTCTTGGCTCAGCCTTCATCAACATTACTGATAGCTAGTCGGGTTAAAAAAAAAATGACAAAAACAACAGCAATTCAAGGTTATTGTCTCTATATCAGTTCTCAAGGGCATAACATCCAACGCAATCAGTGCTTTGCAATTTTCCCGCCTAGGCCAGCATTCTCCTTCTATCAACCCCCAAATAAAAGATACTGAAGTAACATGTATGTAAACATATTGAGCCCTTAGGAGATGCTTAGTCGTTGCCTCTGAATCCAGATCAATAAAAATAAGTGCCCTTTCAGAAATTTTTTGTAAGCGGCAAGAATTTCTTCTATGTACCCGGTGCAACACTTGGTTTTGCCTCACTGGGTCGCTGGTCTTCCATTCTTTAATGCTGCTTCGGCCCACAAAAGATGTTGTACCTCACTCCTTTTTCACCAGCTCTGTCAGATTTCAGATTATGGAATCACAGCAATTGTTATAAAATATTACCCAGCTTCTCCACTGTCTCAGCCTATATCAGTCTCAG